TGGGGAGTGGGACTGGGGAAAGGGGGAGCTGCTCCTTTCTGGTGGCTCACATTTTAGCTCTGGCGAGATGTCCCTTCATGGTTGATTAGATTACAATTTTGGCTCCATTTTGGCGCCTTGTTTCAAAGCAGGGCCACAATAAAATTCTGCACACTGCCGGCAGATGTGAAAGAGGTGTTCTACCCGACAGCGTCACAGGCGCTGTCAAAAACGGATGATGAACTGCGCAAGTTACGGATTGTGAAGCATGCAAGGAAGCCAGACAAGCCTGGTCAGACATTTGGTGATCTCCCCAAGGAGGGTATCACTACACGGAGCATGTCTTTCCTCCTTGACATTTGGAGGAAAAATAGATTTTCCAGCTTTTGTTTTCTTTGCTATTTTGCCTTGTGTGTATGCGTGTCTTAGTTGAGGGTCCAGATTGACCAACTTTCTTCTATCAGTTTATAAGGTTTGTCAAGGTGACACATGTCGTGTCTGCATTAAAAATCAACTTTTCTTTAACATTCAAATTTTGGTTCTTCCCAGTTGCAACTGTCCCGTCCGGTTGTCAACGCACGTTCACTTCATACAATTTCAACTTCTTAACTTTATGTTGTGCAGTACAGTATTTCTGAGTTTGTCAAACAATATTAAATAACCTGAAAAAGACAGAAAAGCAATGCACTGTTTTACGTATATTGTATGATGTATGCAGGTCTAACTTTAAATTTTTTCAAGTAATTTATTTTGAAAATCTAGTTGTAACAACTTATTCAGGACAAAAAATTTTCTCAGGTCCCTGCAAGTTTGTTATGATAAAATGTTACTATATTTACTTGAGTTCTGCTGGGGAGAGATGAGGTCTCAGGTGTACTTTGTGACACGAGCAGGGATTTTAATCTATATAACCAACATTACCTGACCTAACCTAAAGTCAGTTTTTGCAGAATTCCAAATTGTACTAAAACTAACTTTGGGGGCAGTTAGGTTAGGTCAGGTTATGTAAGTAAAAATATCTTTTAACTGAAATACTGTGCAAAGTTATTATGGAACCACACTGTGTGACAGGCAATTTCTGCTTGCATAGCCAACTCAAACACATCCTTGGGTTTGCTCAGTAGGATGGAGCCTGTCATTGTATCATGACCACCAAGGTGCAGAAAATGAACAAGCAGACATCCTATCACAAATATGGAGTACAGTGCAGTAATCTTAAATCCATTCTGCAGGAAAACCATGATTAGAAGTACATTTGTGGGATAGAGGGCAGCCACAGTAAAGATGGCATGCCTGGTACACCAGTTTTGTTTTATTTACTGTACTGCTGTAATGTGTGTGAGATCCTGATTGTCCAAGATGCCGACGGGAGGGGAACTTTCTGGAAGAGTAATTGGGTCTAGTCTACTTTAGCGATGCCAGTGAAACGCACTGTGCGCATCCAGGCGCACTGCCATTTTTTACTCCTGGTGCCCTCTATCTGTACTTTGCTTTCCTACAGTTTTCCTCCAGCAACCCTGGCAAAGAGGAAAGAGTGACTTCATGTGTTCCACATGATGCAGTGCCGCATATATATTCACGCCGCGTTGTGTGAATATATATGCGGTGCCGCGTCGTGTGGTTCCACACAACGCGGACCAAAAGCTGGGGGTGCCCAGCCACACCTGGGCATTGGACACATATTAGCTTGGAAAACTTTGATGTACTACATAAATTAATATCTGAAAGAGGGGGTGCCCTGGTGAAACTGTTCATCATGTTAAAAATTATGCAAAGAACTTTAAAAAGTTTTAATAAAGTTGGTTAAGTGGTGAAGGACCACCAGTGATCTTGTACTTGAGGGGATTCCCTGGTGCAACTGTTCATCTTGTGAGAAATTATGCAGAGAACTTAAAAAAATATATGATTAAAGTTGGTCAACTGGTGAAGGACCACCAGTAATCTTGTACTTGTGCTCAATGTGCCAGTTGTGGCCTGATGGGCCACAACTGGCACATGAGCAGGAGGAATTTATCAATTGTTACAATCCCAACTTGGAGTGCCCAGTCAAACATGGATGTATTATTGTTACATGATAAAAATGAATTTTAAAACAGGTGTGCGTTGTGTGGAACCACACGACGCGGCGCCGCATATATATTCACACAACGCAGCGTGAACATATATGCGGCACCGCATCATGTGGAACACATGAAGTCACTCTTTCCTCTTTGCCAGGGTTGCTGGAGGAAAACTGTAGGAAAGCAAAGTACAGATAGAGGGCCCCAGGAGTAAAAAATGGCGGCGCGCCCTGGACGCGCACAGTGCATTTCACTGGCATAGTAAGGGATCCCTACCAGGACCCTCAGCGACACAGAGTCCCGCTACACAAACTCCGAACGAGAACTCCTGGCCATTGTGTGGGCGGTCACCAAGAAGTTCCGCCAGTACTTGGAGATGCGGGATTTCACAGTCTACACCAACCATAAGGCTTTGCTTGGCAAACTGAAAACCACACGCCTAATCTATTTACACACTAAGCTTGCTTCATTCAGGGCCAAGATAGTGTATAAACCAGGGCGATTCCTGAAGGGGCCAGATGCCCTCAGCTGCGTCACGCTGAATGCGGCCAAAGCACGCAAAACTCCCAATGAGGCAGAGCGCAGTAAAATCATCAACAGCTACCACGAGGAGCTGGGTCACGCGGGATGGAAGAAGATTTACCAAACACTCTGCACCCGCTACAGATGGCCGTCGTTGCGTCAAGACGTCTGGAAATGCATCCAATGCTGCCGGACCTGCTTTTGCTACAACACCCAAACAACGTCAGTGGGCGTCCAATTGGAACCTATCCGATCAACGTACCCCAGGGAACGTTTGACCATCGATTTCTACGGGCCCCTCCCGCTGTCGTCAGAGGGACTTCGGTATGCAGTTGTCGCGGTTGACCATTACAGCAAGTACATGATGGTTAAGCCCATCATCCAGGCCGACGCTCCATCAGTGATTCCATTCCTCGCCGAAGTTTTCCGTCAATTTGGTTTGTTTGAGTATGTTCATTCTGATGCTGATTTGGTCTTTCGATCTTGTGCATTTAAATGGTTCCTTTGTGACGCAGGAGTGAAGCAGCATGTTGCGCAGGCCTCTCACTCCAAAGGGAACGGATGCTGCGAGCGCGCAATACGCACGCTGGGCCATCAGATCCAAGCAAAAATTGTGCAGGGGAACAGCCCGGAATGGGACAAATTTATTTTTCAGTCCGCGCTTGCCTACAATAATACGATTCATTCGTCAATTGGGATAACCCCTACCAAAGCTTTTTTTCAGAGACCAACGACTCTGGAATCCGATTGTGCTTTCAGCGTGGAACCTCCCCCAATCGACTTCAAGCTTACGCAGATTCCTGTCGTTGCCGCAAAGGCTCGCGAGGGTTTTTGCCGCGCCGCAGACCAACGGAAGTGGCCCCAGTTTTCCCCAGGGGACTTGGTGGCTGTTCGCCCACGCCTGCCAACCGTCAAGCAGCACGCCGCCGACCGGCAATTCCAAGTGCAGCAGTTGGGCCCCTTTGTGGTCATCCCCTACCTGGGCCAGGGCAAATATCATGTGGGGGTGGGCAAAGCGGTCTGTCATGCTAACGGATGGGAAATGCTCCCAGCCCGCGGTTTACCCCGACCTCCAGATCCAATCTGGGAGCAGGCCTTTCCTCCCATCTTTCACCCTGAGTTGGCGGATCCCTATTTAGATTCCGACGTTTTATTTGCTGATCCTTCTGCAGGCTTCATGCCCCACGCAAATGCTTTTTGCGATCATGACTACCTGCTTTCGCCACCAGCGCCACTTTCCAGGGTTCGCCCTGATCACACCTATACTTCCTCACTGAAAAACGCAGCCTCCTCTCCCACTGGCCGTTTTTCTCCAGGGGGAGGGAGTGAGGGATCCCTACCAGGACCCTTAGAGCAACATCTAGCGGTACCTCGACTAACCGTCCACGTCACCCACCCAGTTGTCACCTGCGAGAAGATAGTGATCACCATTGGAGGAGATGCGGCCGAGACTGAAGAATAAGGTTTTGAAGAGTAATCACTTAGACCCACGCACAGAACATGACATTTAATCCTCAGTGCTTCAACAGATAAAGAGGTTGGTCACAATATAAAAATATAAGAGATGTCTTCGCGTCACAATCTCATAACGAAGTGTCACTCATTTCCTCTACTCGCCAGCTCCTTCCGATTTCCCCCCAGATCTCTTGCCTGATAACGATTCGCGAGTGGGTGGGTTGTCGCGCGTTCGCGGTTTCACGGTTTGGCCACCAGATGTTGCGTCCGAGTGTAAGGCGGAGTCCTTACTGAAGAGAGACACTTTACTTGAGTTCTGACTTCAATAAGATACTGAAGGAATAAGTCCTCGGCCAGCGTCACGTTTAACCAGGAGCGTTTAATTCAGTCCAAACTCCGGTAAATGACAGACTCGTCGCAACACAAATATCACAATCACACAATAATAGGTCAGTCAGGTAAAATGCAACTTTCTTGATCAAAGCTCAACCGCCGAATGAATCTGAGAGACACTGATCTCACGCGCGCCTCCTCCGATCAAGATAACCATCTGTCTCCTGCTTGCGCTGGGGTGGGTAATCCGTTCGGGCGCTAGAGATAGAAAAATAGGAGGGGTAGATGTCGCTTGTTAAGGGTCCTATAGGGATCCCTTACTCTTCTGACCTGGAAAGAGCTATTTCATTTGTGACTGTGATTGTGTTGTGTTTTCGTGTTGTCTGTAATTTTGGAGAAGGACATTAATAAATCCTCTGATTACCGCTGCGCTGGACGAAGACTCTTTTATCAAATCTTACTGCATCCCTAAAGTACACTAGACCTTTGTGCACAACAAGTTACATGGTCATTTTCTGAGTGTGTACCAGTGCTGAACCCACGAATGCATGGAGCTCATCAGTCGGGCTCGCTCGTTCGTCGGCGAAAGGTTTTGGAGTGCCGAACTTTTCGTTTTCGAGACGCGTGTCAAGGGCGAAATATGAAGTGCTGGGTATTTTTTTCTTCGCAGTTTTTCTGTACTGATATATTTCGAATTAGCGGTTGATTTTCGAGGTACGAAGGTTTCAGTGGATTGAAAGGTATTCAGGATGAAGGCCGTTTGCGTTTTATCGGGAACTGGTGATGTCAAAGGAACCGTGTACTTCAGTCAGGATGTGAGTTTGGTGAAGTTTTTTTTTTTTTTGCCTGTAACGCAGTTCTATCTCACTTCCACTGTTTGAGGGAAGTTCTGTTCAACATTATTCGCATTTTTTCCGCTAGGCTGAAGGTGACTCCGTGAAAGTTAGCGGGGAATTGACAGGCCTGGGTGCCGGTAACCACGGATTTCACGTCCACGAATTTGGCGACAACACCAACGGCTGCACAAGTGCCGGAGCACATTTCAATCCAGAAGGCAAGGATCACGCTGGACCGGAAGACGCTGAAAGACACGTCGGTGACTTGGGGAATGTAGTTGCAGGATCAGACGGTGTTGCCAAGATAGAAATAACCGATAAAGTCATCTCTTTGACCGGTAAAAATAGCATCATCGGACGCACCATGGTTGTAAGTTTGTCAACATTTTTTATCCCTTCTCTGTCTGAATGAAACTCCATTGTGTTTGTCTGTATGGGAAATAGGTGCATGCGGACCCTGATGATCTTGGTCGTGGTGGACATGAGCTGAGCAAGACGACCGGGAATGCTGGAGCACGTGTGGCTTGCGGCGTTATTGGCTTGACTAAGTGAAATGAGGATTCCTACAAGCATTCGCTAAGCGAATATTATCGCAAAAGAGCCCGTCTTTAGAAACAAGTCAATTTCATTTATATCTGGGATACGGTCTGGGGATACAGTACTTGGCTTTTTGGTTTGCCTGTTGCTTTATTTTGAACAAAACTTAATAGTCGGCGTGATCGCGAAAGATTTGTAATGCATCGGGCGCTTGAAAACAAAAAAGAAAAAAGAAATGGTTTGACGTCTCTTTATTTTCCGGACATTCGATACTTCTGGAGCATCGTTACATCATTTCTCAAAATATACCGTGGCTTTTGCTTGATCGATTCGAAGACCGATCCAACGTGTTTCACTTGTTTCTGCACAAAAGGTTTTTGAGTTCCCAATTAAGTTTATCATTTCCAGAATAACTTTCTCGGTTATCGATGCTCCTGGGGTTTTTTGATTTGTGCAGCATTCGATCATATCGTCGAGCTAGGTCTGATCATGACGGATTTCTCCAGATAATTTGGCCAGCGACGTGATGGTGGAACAAGGAGCGGTGGATGTGAACGTTGCGTTGAATGAAGCTGTGATAGAAGCTCGTGAAGCTGCGAAGGATTTCGAAAAAATCTACTTCCGGCTCTTGGACAGCAATCGAGCACAAATCGACAAAATGTACACTGCGGCTGCATCAGTGGTGTGGAATGGGGTTATGTTGAAAGGCAACGATGTCATAAAGCAGTTCATTCTCGTACGTTGCATTCATCGCCCAAACGAATTCTAGAGATGTTCGCTTCTTCATGTGAAATTAAATCGGGATTTGTTTATGTTTCGAAGGAACTACCGCTTGTAAAGCATGATGTGACCTGTGTGGACGTTCAACCAATGTTGCGAGCAGTTCCGGATTGTGCGACGTTCCTGGTGAAGATGTCCGGCTTCGTGAACCCCAACGCCTCCAAAGATATTTTCGTATCTACCTTTGTTATCACGCTTGTTGAAGAGGCGTGGAAAATAGTGACGCATAATTATCGATACATAGATCAGCGATGAAAGAAAAAAGGCAATTTGCTGTGCGACGTGTTTTTTATAAAACATTCATAAATATTTTGCGGTGGTCAAGTGTGGTATGACGGTGAAATGTGATTCCAATGAGTATCTGAGAGGGTTGATTTCCTGGTGAAGAAGATACCTCGATTGGTTTTACTTTTGCAGATTTAATCAGGGTCTAGAACATTCATGTTTGAAAATCGGGCGTAAAAATGGTGGATGATGAAGAGGATGAGGCGAGTTGTTGTAGCTATGTCCGGGGGAGTGGACAGCGCAGTTGCTGCGTTTTTGATGAAGATGAAAGGTAATCCTCTACGTTCCTGAGACGAATTTTCCAACATTTTTGAAGAGGTCTTTCTTTGCATCATCTTCCTGTATGTTCTTGAATGACAGAGTGTAAACTATAGTCAAAAGTCTTTAACTTGAACTTTTAGGGACCAGCATAAAAGTTCGCGATAGTGTGGTTTAAACGCATTTTTTGGGAGGAAAGAAAAATGAATCGCAGAAAGGTGTCATTCATGATATTCTAGGCCTTGGATGAGTTGACAGAATGCTGAACTTGGTGGCAAGGGTTCATCTGCCAAATTAGTCTTCCACTTCTGTTCAAAGCACTTCAAGTTACAGTTTTATTTTTCTCCCTCCTGAGTCTATAAAGTTTTAGCAAGATGCCTCCGAGAAAGTGCGAGTTATGTAGGTTCGATGCGAAAATCTTGTGAGTTAGAGCGGGTTCGAATGCATTGTTTATAAGGAATATTTTTTTCACGCATAATTTTTGACTTTTTACAAACGTATCAAAACGATGCCTGACATCATTGAATTTTTCTAATGAGGATTCTCTGTCATGGGAGTACACCTGAAGAACTGGGACTCTGCTGAAGAAGGTGCTGCGTGCCAAGGTGCGACGGATGCAGAAGACGCTGCTTTTGCATGCAAGACCCTGGACATACCTTTTCAAGAAGTCAATTTCGTGAAAGATTACTGGAACGATGTGTTCAGGTATGTTTGGCGAATGAAAAGTGCGTGTACAGTATTTACCATTTTGTGTTCGAGATAAGTCTGAATTGAATAGGAATTCTGGTGGTTCTGTGAATTTGTAGGGTAAAGGGGTATACAGTACTTTACTTTCCTTGAAGTACGGAGCCCATGTGATGTGTTGAACGTTGAAATGTATTGTTTGATTGCAGCGAAATGCTGTCGGATATTGAAAGAGGCCTGACTCCTAACCCCGATGTAGTGTGCAATCAGAAGATCAAATTTGACAAGCTAATGAAATATTCGCTGGAACGATGCGGTGCTGATGCCTTGGCGACAGGTCATTACGCTAGAACCAGTTTCGGGCCAGACTTGGAATTTTATGATCCTATAAGAGGTAATTGAATCTCTTCGATTTAATTCAAATATACTTACAAGTCCTGGCTTTCTCTCCCCCAATGTGTTGAGGCGTGAAACTGATGAAAGCGAGAGATCTGAAAAAAGATCAGACTTTCTTCTTGTCTCAAGTTCAGCAATCGGCGCTTCAACGCACCTTTTTCCCTGTTGGGGGAATGTTGAAGAGTGAAGTGAAGCAGCTTGCCATCGATATCGGTTTAAGTCGTCTCGCGCAAAAGGCCGAAAGCATGGGCATTTGTTTCATCGGTCCGCGAAATTTCCAGAGCTTTATTTCTGAGGTAAAAAAAAAAAATATTGCACATCTCGTGATTTCCTTTCATGGTTCAACTGAAGCATTTTCTATTTCGTGGTCCCTCACAGTATGTGAATGCTCGAGACGGGAATTTTGTGAATTTGGAAAACGGTGAAGTCGTTGGAAAGCACAGTGGAGTTCATCTTTGGACGATCGGTCAACGATGTCGAATAGGAGGCCTCCCTGAGCCGTTTTTTGTTGTAGACAAAAACCCTGCAACACAGGACATACTCGTGGTGAGGGAGCGCTATCGAATTTTTTGACATTTTCTGGAAGGAGGAAGGGAGTGAAGTTGAAGCTGCTTTCAGGTACCCGGTGAAAATCATCCAGCGTTGTACACGTTGAGTTTATTCCTGGAAAAGCCGCATTGGATACACAGTCCTCCGCGGAAGTTGCATGATTGTGTAGAATGTGCCATTTGTTCGAGATACGGACATCCGAGCGTTGGTTGTTACGTTTCTACGGCTAGTGGTTCATGCCTCGTGGTGCAATTACGAGTGCCATTGCGTGCTGTGACTCCGGGACAGGCAAGGGCTTTTCTTTTCCTCTCGATCATGTGCAGGGTTTTTTTCTTAATGGAAGATGTCCCTGTACTGTTGGAGCTTTCGGAAGTCAAATTTGAAGGGACCAACGACGAAAAAATTCGAAGCGTGGAATCGTGCATCCACGTCAACATGTCTCTGAACATGTTTGAAAATGCCTTTGCCACTTGATATTCATTCACACACACCAGAAAATAAAATTCGAAGGGACCAATAACGTAAAAATTTGAACTTGGAGAAGTCAGAGAAACTAGGTTTGAAAATGCTTGTAAGTTCGAAAAGAATTGATTGAGGCCAACATTTTTCCTGCAACTGTGTGTTGTGTACCCAAACGTTCATTCCCACTACATGAAAAATGTGACCCATAGGAAACGAGTATAAATGAGTCTACCGGATGCAGAAGCTCGAGCGAGGATTTTATTGACCGAGGGATCGATGGAAGTTGCTCGTTTTCCTTACCGATTGCATTACCATTAATATTTCCTGTCCTTCCTTGTACAATTCAGTATTCGAAAATTGAGTTCGTGAGGTTCACAGTTGAAACGTTTTGAGTGAAGGGGGTTAGATTGACATTGTTTCAAAGTCACTTTGGACTGGGACTAGAACAGAATATGAGGAGGTTTTTGTGTCGAAGAGGTCCGAGTTTTTTTTTTTTTACTCATGGCTCGTCTGTCGCGTGTAAATCACGAAGGCTTGGTTTGGTTATTTATGACTTGGGTGCAACGTTAGGTTAGGGTTAGTCGAGTCGTGGGTTAGATTTCTGGTTATTTCGACGTGCAGATACTGTAGTTGGGGATGTGATGGAATAATTTGGGTAGAGTTAGTTGGTTCTTGGTTAGTTTCGTTGAAGTTGTGCGTGTTGAGTTTTCGGTCAGCGCAGCAGAATTTCATGAAAAATCGAGGAGTTGAGAGCGTGAAAGTCTCGAAGAAATGAGATATCATAGGATCATCTTTCTGAAGTCTTGAATTTAATTTCTTTTCAGTACGGGGTGTTCTATCGTGGCGAAGAATGCCTTGGAAGTGCGCGGATTTTACGTCCGGGTCCATCCCTGTTCATGTCGGACCGAATGAAGAAAAAGAAGTTGATTTTGGATGAAAAAGACGTGGAATTCATGCCCATTTTCCCTGGAGATGCTGGAATGCCTTCGGAGAGCCGTTGATTAATCGCTACTCTCGCAACATTTTAAAATACGTTTACCGCTTCAGTGCCAAAAATTTCCTACTGTGAACACGATTCGGATGATTTTGTTTCCGCAGGTAATAAAATTGTTCGCTTTTCCTTGCGATATCAAGTGCGATGTCGCGCGGTTCTAGCTCGGGCTTCGATCGTCACATCACGATCTTTTCGCCTGAAGGTCGTTTGTATCAAGTTGGTGAGTTTACAAACACTTCGAGTTTTAGTAGCACTTCAACGGGCGAAATGGATAATTTTTACGATGTTTTCGTGATTGTTTTGCAGAGTATGCATTCAAAGCGATCAACCAAGGAGGACTCACGTCCGTGGCTGTGAAAGGCGTTGATTCAGCAGTTGTGGTCACGCAGAAGAAAGTGCCGGTGAGTCACAAGTCGCTATGAAGAACCATGATAATAATAATTTTTTTTTTATAAATCGTGACTCTGTTTTTTGAAATGCTCGAGAAATTTCTATAGTCTGCCTGAAATAAATTGTTATTCTTCTGGGGAATGACTGTGCTATTGTTGTGTTGCAGGATAAGTTGCTCGATCCGACGACGGTGACGCAGCTGTTTCACTTGACTGAGAATATCGGATGCGTGATGACTGGCATGCCAGGTTGGTGGAATATTAAATTAAAGTGAGACCCCGAAATGCGGAAGATTCGACTTTGGGGACACTGAAAACCCCAATATCTGGACAATACTTCACGACTCGACCTTCGGACAGCTGTAAAATTTCTGGAAACATGAGAAATATGATGTGCTTGTTCTTTGCCTTTGGGCTCCTTTTTATGCCATGAGGGCAAATTGTTCGGTTTTCTCCTGCAGTTATTTTCTACATTTTGAATTCGATGAGACAAGTTTATTTCAATTTCGTGGCTTTGTTGAAAAAAGAAAACAGGACAAGCAATTGAATATGTAGCCATCGAAGTCCATGGGAAAAGCGATTCGAAATGCGGACGTTTCGACATGAAGACAAAGTCCAAGATCAAATTACTCCTGCATCTCAGGGCTTCACTGCAATTTGGTTATCGCATTTTTTATTTTAATAACGTGCTGTCTTTTATTTTTTACCCCCAGCCGACTCCAGGTCACAAGTGCAGCGAGCTAGGTATGAGGCGGCTAACTGGAAATACAAGTATGGCTACGAGATCTCCGTCGACATGTTGTGCCGTCGAATTGCAGACATTTCGCAAGTGTACACTCAGAATGCGGAGATGCGACCCTTGGGATGCTGTGAATATCTATTTTTTTTCTTCCGTTTTTTGGGGGGGATTTTAATTTTGATTCCGTATTCTGTATTACGAAAATTAATTCGGATCCTTGATGCGTTTTCAAGTACTGTAGTTCAATTTGAACGCATTGAGTCGTTCTGATTTTTCTTCCGAAGTCTGCGAATCACTTATTTTTAACTGAATATTATTCCGAAATTGAGTCGGATTAACTTCGACTGTGACCCACGCATCTTGCGATTCAGTTGAATTCAGTAAATTATTAACGTAGGTTATTTATTTTCGGAGATTCCCCATTGACTTAAACTTCGATCTCGACGATTCCAACCTCCCTGAGCCGGATTTTTTTTTTTTTTGGAAGTCCCAGTCCGCATTTTCTTGGGAACGACGAATTAATAACCTCCCCAAGTCGTAGGTCTCCTCTTCAAATCTCCATAACTCCAACTATCTGAAGGCCTTCTGCTTATTATTCCGTCGACACAAGAAAGAGAAAAGCAGTAAGAATATAACGGATCTGTTCTGAAAGGAATTGAAAGAATAATCGGGCAAGTTAACTTATGCCTCCAAGTTCAGCATCCTGTCAACTCATTTAAGAGACAATTTAAGGCCTAAAATATTGCCGCACTATCACCTTTTATTCTTCTTTCTCTCCTCTCAAAAAATACTTGTTTTTCCTAGCTTGAAGCCTCTTCGAGTCGAATTTTTTTACTGGTTCCTCGAAGGTTGACCCGGCGATTCATTTGAAATTGGTTTCAATCTGGATTTCTAACTGTTGACTCTTCTTTTCTTTTGCCTCAATTATAAGGCATGATGCTGATCGCGTATGACGATGAACTGGGACCATGCGTGTACCGTGCTGACCCAGCGGGGTACTTTTGTGGTTTGAAAGCCGCCGCTGTCGGAGTGAAACAGACCGAGGCGACGTCTTATCTGGAGAAGAAGTTCAAGAAGAAGCAAGACTTGAATGTCGAGGAGACGATCCAGTTGGGAATCGGTGCCCTTTCTTCGGTTTTGTCGGCGGATTTCAAGCCGACCGAGTTGGAGATCGGTGTGGTCACTGCGCGGGAGAAGAAATTCAAGTGAGTCTTGGCAGCTCCCTTTTTTTTCCCACTTTTATTTCACAAATCAATCGTGTGTGTGTGGGGTTTTTTTTTTTTTTAGGATTTTGACAGAAGATGAGATCGAGAAGCACTTGGTGGCCCTGGCGGAAAAAGATTGAGTCGAGTGACGCAGCAGTGGTTCCTCTCCGTCTTCTTTTATGTTGGGTTTTTTTTTTTTTTCTTCGAGAGTGAGAATTGCCGGCGGCGCAAAAGCCTCGAAATTCCGTGAACATTTGGAAAAAATGAATCAGCTTTCAACATACAAATCACGTCGTATCTTGTTCTCTTTTCGCGAATCATTACTGGGAGAATCAGTCTAAGTAAACAATTTTTGGGTTTTTCAGGGTACAGTTGAGATCCTTCCTCGTCCCGAGATGGGTTTGCCTGACAGAATCTCCCAGTCTGTGGAAGTGACACGTTTCCACACAATGGAGAGAGTGAATCGTCAGGTCCTCATTATCGACGGACACAATCTCCTGTACAGGTTGTTTGGAGCGAGGACGAAGGAATATAAATGTGGCCCGGATTTCAAAGACATGAGTGCCCGGTTTAAGGCCTTCATGGAGTACCTCAAGCAGCAGACATTGTTTCCCATTCTTGTGTTCGACGGTTTCAGCGGAACCTTAGCTGGTAAGTACTTGTGAAGTTTTGTTGTTGGTGCAGTACTTCCTTGAAAACGAGATGCACGCGAAAAACAAGACCGTGTGCATTCACAATTGTTATTAGTGTGAATCTTCACGAAAGTTCTCGGAATAGAAATTTAAATGGCATTGAATTGAGCTGAAAAACAATTCGTGTTTTGAAAAAATTTTCTTAAACACAAGGGGGAAAAATGCAGCTCTGTTTGAAACATTCTTCAGAAAATTTTTGAAAAAGTCACTCTGGCAGCTTTCTGCTCTTCACTCAAAGGATCGCATATATTCTTTTTTGTGTACCCAAGCTTTCCGTGCAGAATTCTTGAAACTGACACGGCATTAATTCCAAGGATTACCGCCATTAATTGATTATAAGTTCCGCTATTTTCGTTCACAGCCGCCACTTGGGTTGAGAATGTGGCGGCTCTTGATGAAAATAGCGGAATAGCGATGGAAAAACCTAGAGATAATCCTTGTCAATGTTAATTTGAAGAATTCTGAAGGAGAAGCTGGGCTGCGCCTAAAAATCTGAAAGATGGGCGGCTAATGAGTTGAGAGCAGAAAGCTGCCCGAATGACTTTTTCGAAAATTTTCTGAAGAATGTTTGATGCATGGCTGGTTTCATTTTTTCTTGTGCAAAAGATTTTTTCCCAAACAAAAATTGTTCTTCATGAAATGCCGTTTTAATTTATATTCTGAGAGAATTTGTTGTACGTTCAAGTTAATTTTTTTCTGTTAGATTGAATATACTGTACAGTACTGTGTATGCAATATCTGTCGTGATTTTTCATAAAATGAAAGCAAGATGTGTTGAAGTGATGAGAACCGGATTTTGTGTTTGCAGGGTCAAATACATCGTTGCCGAATATGTATTTGTCGCTGGTTGAAGACATGGAGGTTCCTGTGTACGTTGCGGTGCGTATCGCTGACGAGTTGATCGCTGTCGCAGCCAGATTTTGCAACGCTATCGTCATCTCAGAAGACACAGATTTCCTCATGTACGGCGTGAGGATGATTACGTGCTCTTTTCTCGCCGATGCGTTTCAACGGAAGCACGACTGGTTAGTCATTTGAAATAGAGAAAAATTCTTTTGGGAGGATTTTTTCTTCTTGGTTGCAGCATTTTCTCTGTGGGCGCCTTGTTATAAAAATGTCATCTTATGCTGTAATCTCTCTCCAATGAATTTTTGGATATGACTCTGTTCATGAGGCTTAGGCATTATTTGATGGATGGGAGAAAAAAGTTCAAATTAAACTTGAGCAAAATTCTAAATTTTTTGAAAGAGCAAATCTTTCTGCGGAAAACATCCACTGTTTAAAAAAAATACTCTAAAGAAGTGTTCTCCAACCTTTTTGGGCTCGTAGACGGCAAATTTCCATCAAATTTTTCATGGACTAACAAATTTCCAAAAAATCTTCTGAAGACCAGCAAAGTTTCATCAAATTTGTGCTGACTCAGAAAAGTTCTGCTTGAAAGACTTTATGGCAGGCATTTGAAAAGTTCTTGCTTTTTGCAAAAGTTGAATCAGAAACAAAAAGAAGCAGCTATAGTTGAATGTTTTCGAAAAACTAGAAAGATAGGCTTGATGAAAGGTTTCTCAGAATGCAAAATAAAAATGATTTATTTCAGCAGGAGGGAAAAAGTGTCTCTACTGTCATTAGGAGAAAAGCTAACCCTTGTTTTTCATCAGATAATTTTAACTGCCTATGTCTTGCCAAAATTTCGGATGAAAATACTTTAGCATCCTCTGCATTGCTACTTTTGATTAATTTATGATGCTGAAGAAAATTTTCTGCAGACCAGCAAACAACTTCTGCAGACTTGAGCCAATCCACTGACCATGGGTTGGGGAGCACTGCACTAAAGGGCTTACTGTATTTCCTCAAAATTATTTAGCTCCATTTTAGAATGTATGCATTTCTTTCTGATGAACAGTATGTTGAGGAATTTTCCTCTACTGTACTTGAAAGAACAGGTATGAATGAATGAGGTTGATTCATGAGGGATTATTTCTCACACATTTTTCATTTTATTTTTGAAACAAATGATTCTTGAGCAGAAAGGCAAGTTCAATAAAAGAAAAATTATTGCAGTTCATTAAAAAAAATTCTTTGCATTTCATCAGAGATATTTAAGAATTATACCGGGTCTTGAATTACAGAATCTGTAGTAGAACAAGATTTTTCTGTGTTCTTCTTGCCCATTATTCGTTTCTCTTCATACAATGAGTGAATGAGCAGTTGAATGATGTACAATTGAAACCCAATAACTTGAACTTCTCTAAGTTGAATACCTTCCTGTGTCAAATTGTTAAAGTTTCTGTATCTTACCTCATGCATTCTACAAAAAAGATGCATTCAAAACCTCGCAAACTTTTGAAGGCTTTCCCCCTCAAAATTTCATCTCCCAAATTTTGGAGACCTTTTGGGTGGCAGAAGAAAGATAAAAGCAATAAAAATGTCGCTTAATGTGCTCTGAAAGGCAGTGAAAGACTAACTGGGCAAATGAGCCCTTGCCTCCAAGTTGAGCATCTTGTCAACTCATTTGAAAATCAATTTAAGGCCTGGACTGCCACCAATTTAAATTTCCTGCAATTATTATATATTTCCCAAAATACAAGCGCTTGTTTCCCCTAACTTGAAGATTTTTGGTTGTCTCTTGAAGCTTGACTACATTCTGTCCCGTTTCAGGTTCACGAGCGAAGTTCCCGTGAGGCACGCGGCATTTTTCTACAAGAATCTTGAGCAAAACGAGTGCTTGAAAATGTTGGCCAAGGTGAGGGTTTCAGTTCAGGAAATGGCGTCTACCCCAGATAAAAAGCTCAAGAAAGCCCTATTGACTTCCTTGAAAGAAAGTGTGAGTTCATTTTGGTTGCCTTTTGTAATTTCGCTTTTGTCAACCCACTTTTTCCCCGCGTTTCCTTGTACTTTTGAAGACGTGTGTGGAAGGAGATCCTCTGACAGCGCTGAAAATCCTAATGAATGTGTTCGAGGAGAACCTGAAGGCAGAGCCGAAGCTGCGTCAGAAGCTGTGGAAAGCCACTGCGAACTACGAGAAATTTGCTCACGAGTGCAATTTGTTGCTGAATCGGTGCTCTGATCTTTTGAATCAGAATTTCAAGGACGAATCGTTGATGTGGCTCTGGGAACGGGTTCAACCCAGTCAATTTGCCGTTGGCCCGTTCGTCATGTACTCGATGAGAAGAAAGATCCGATTCATACCAACGGCTCTCTACCCCGGTAATTTTCTTCTTGCATGATTTGAAAATTTGCGTGTGTCATAATTTAGGATGCGTGTTCCGGTTTCAGTCTTTTTGAAAAAGTTGTTGGATTCATACCAGATCAAATCCTTTTTTGTCGTTTTTGAGAGAATTCTTCGAGTGGTGTGACGCGTTCTGGCGTTATTTTTTTCTGTGAAAAATCGCTCAGGAAGGGAAAGTTGAGAAAAAAGGAGAATCGGACGATCTCCGTGAGTCAATCCGAGATGTGATTTTAATCGAACTAAAATGTAAAATTTGTGAGAATCCGTTGCGAAGAATCTCGATATGACGAATGTTTTTTCTTGATCACAGCAGTTTCTTCGTAACGACAGTGTTATACAAATGTCGGTGTAACAAACCGATTTTCTTCTATAATCCCATTGTAACGAATTTTCATCCTGATCTATGCCTGCATGGGCCGAAGCGGTTTTATTAACTGGCACAATACGGGAAACCCCAACTACTGTACTCGTAATTGAAAACCTTCAAAAAATTCAAGTGCTAATCTTTTTGTGCTGAAAATTCTGCATTGCAAGAAGTATGAAGCTCTAGAGTGCATTGAAATTTATTTTAAAACTTCAAAATAGTTACTTTTCCTGCAGAAAGATATTGCTGTATTTCAGGGAACATACAATTGTTCATGAATGTTTATATCAACTACATTACAGGAAAATTGGTATATTTTTGAGAAAATTAAGAGAAGAGGAGAGTGAAATAAGAGAATTGTATTTCACATTTTTTTCATTTTCTCCATGATTTCATCAAAAGAAGTTCGAATTTTGCGCAATTCCTTTTCATATATGTTGTGGCAGTACTTCGAAGCAACTACAGCAGGTGCACTCTCTCTACAATGAAACTTGAGGGATCAGGATTAAAATTCGTTGTAGGGAGAATTTTATTGTATGAAACCCTTTTAACGTGTGAAGTTTACCCCTTGGGACCACAAAAAATTCGTAATGCGAAGAAAATCGTTGTTGACAACATCAGTGTAGAGATGTCTTGTTTCTCTTGTATTACGTATTTCCCGCGAAATTTCAGTCGCACATGCTTGAATGATGATAATCATAAAAAATGCGTCATAACGATTGTTCAATAGGTTCTTGAGAGTTTTTTTTTTTTGTGTCAAGATTTTACCTGTACTTTAAACCTCAATCCCACGCAGATGCCTTCAGAGCAGCGAATGTTCCAACATCCGCATTTTGCGCCCTGGTGGACGCCGCGAGTCAGCGTCCAGTGGAACGTGTGACTGTGGAACCCTGCCCGGACGACGGGTCTTTGGGTTTGCAATTCCACGAGTCCATTAATGGGATCGAATTCACTTCGGGTTCGGACGGCGAGACGTTGTTGCGACGTCTGTTGGAGCTCGACGACGACGAGGCCTTGTGGAGAAACATTTCGGATCTGCCGCAGTCCTCTTCTGCTTTCGGGGTTGCCGTGAATTTGTGGTTGAGGAACGAGTGTTTCGTGGTGGGCAAGGCGGTCCTTACGGCGGCACTCATCACTCATCTGGCCTTGTCGTCAGTGCTGATGGGCATAGACACGAGTGAGTGATGGGAACAATGTCAGAAAAATGAGGGTTGTTGAGTACGTGCAGGAAACAATTTGGCCCGAAGTACAGAAGAAAGTTGCCTGAGGCAATAACAAATAAGAAACGCATCACGTGATCAGCTCACCATCCCACCACTCGTTTTTTCATTGTGCGATTCTTTTCCTCTCCTGCACGTTTTTTCCTTCCTCAATCGTGCACCCTTCTGCCAGATTTCAAGAGTTTGTATTTTCTTCGTAATTAATCTCATTTTTCAGTGGTCTTTCAAAGTCATTCAATTTCGAGGGACCAGCAAAAAATTCGAGATATGTAAAGAAGAGTTTTTGTTTTGGGAAAGGTAGAAGAATTGCAGGAAATTGTAAATGGTGGTATTCTGGCCCTCAAATTGCTTTTCAATTGACTTGACAGGATGCTGAAGTTGGAGGCAATGGTTCATTTGCCAAATTAGTCTTTCATCTCCTTCCAGAACACTTCAAGTTACTTTTTATTGCTTTTCTCTTGGCTGTGTCAAGAAAATGTTAGCCTTTGAGTTAGGGAGGTTTTTAGTGCATTGTTTCTGAGGAAATTCAGACTGGAACTTGAATAAATCCATTTAAAGGGGGTTGTGTTATCCAGGTTCAAATGTAGTGTTGTATAGTGGATGAGGGAAATTGCTATGGAAAATTTTCCTCCTTTATAATGCTGTACCCTGTTTGTTTGGTTTTTTTAATCTCGCCTATTACGGAATCAGCCAGTGCTGTATCTCGAAGAAGTGTGGGTGAGACTCGGTATGGAACAGCAAGCTATTTTGCAGTTATCTTCACTTGAAATAACTCGTGGTCATTGATCCTCGAAACTCCTTTTTTTTAGTGAAATACAAGGTACATACTACGTAGTGATTATCACATCTGGACTAGCCTTTGGAATTTCAAAAAAGCTGTAACATTCAAACATGGATGTTGAATATGACTGAGTAATAATTCAGGACAACAAACCTCACCTGAACGGAAGTTTTGAAGCAGGCTAATTTTGTGCCCTTCTTATTTTTTGCCCATCATGGGTGCTCGAGTATAGCAAGATTTTCTTGGGTCTTCTTTGCTTCTTTTGAGCTCCTTGAGATGCCAACAGATCCTAGATTCTTTGTGGTTATCATCTGTACATTTATCTTGAATTTGACAAAAAATTCTTTTCTTCAAATTTTTGGGGAACTTTTTCTAAACTATTCATTTACTGGCAACCCAATTGAAAATATTCCTAATTAAGTCTATGGGAAAATGAGGTCCGACATGCGGACGTTCCAACTTACGGACAAGGTTCATGCACCAATTACGTCCGCATCTCGGGGCCTCTTCCCTGATTCAGAAAATAACTCATCTTGAACTCTCTTAAACTCTTCTCGAGGTAACGCTTTTGCATGGACTAAAATGTGGTGTTTTTTTTTCATTTTGACAGGTTTGTTTTTGAACACGCCGAGCTGCAACTCGGAATTCAAAGCGTGTACCATGTACTCCGGTCTGCTCGTGATCGCAGAAAGGGTCAACCTTGTGCTGTGTCTTCTGGGAAACCCACTGGCACCCATCAAAGCAAGACTGTGTTTTAGTGGTTCTCTCTTCTGGAAATGCTTATACTTCATTCGTTCCGGGGGTCAGGGACCCGACGATATCCTAAATAGACTGATCATCGATCGCGGCGAACGGGAAAGTTGCCGTGATCTCCTCGGAAAGTTGTTGAACCTCTATGATGACAATGCGGGTATATCGAAAAAGTCGTCGGCCGTGGATCAAAAAGCAGAACGAAAGAGACGGAGAAAGAGTCGTGAAGTTGCTGCACGGATTTCGAAGAAGGCCGAACGACGTCGAGGAGTTGAGTCAACGACGGATCCCATCGTGGTCGAGGACGAAGTTGAACAGCCGCGTAAGAAAAGCAAGAACGTCGTCGTCGAGTCTGAGAAGGTGTCGAGAAAGGAGAAGACTGAGCAACAACGTACGAGTAATGTGATATCTGCGATGTCGTCGTCCAAAAGCAAAAAGGCGAAGAAGGTGGTTCCATCATCAGGAAACGACGACGATGACGATGACGACGACGAAAACATCTGGTTTTGAATTGTCTGCGGTCGATCTTTTGTCTTTTCCATTCAACTTTCGGCGGACGCGTGAGTTCGTGGAATTTCGGGGATTGTTTTCCGAGTGATGAGAAAGAATTTTATTTTTGTAACTAAAAAGTTGCACGAGTTGATGAATAATTTATGCAGTTATTTGCTGTCAGTTCGAACGATCAGTTCTCGGAGGAAACCTATCTTTCTCAAGTCGAAATTAAGTCCCATCGTTTGACGAACAATTTGCCCAGCTGAACATTTTTAAACGAACCCATCAGTTGAATTTAACAAGGTGTCTGGGCGGTCAATCGTTATTCTCGCCAGTACTTTTTTGATTTTGACTTACTGCATTTTCAACGCCAACAGAAAATCAATCCTACCATTTTTTTTTCTACCTATACTGTAGTCATTTGATAAGACATCATTTTACATGTCTTTCACTTGCAGTATTTTTTCTTATCACCTCGAACATCAATGCATTGGACCAGTTGTTGTACAGTGGAACCCTGAGATGCGGACATGATTGGTGCTTGGACCTTATTGTCCCAATTTTGGAATGTCTGCATGTTGGACCTTGTTTTCCCTTGGACTTCAATGGGAATACAATATTTTCAATTGGTTCACGCATTCATTTGTAAAACATTAAGGAATGCAGTTCTCAAAGAAGCTAAAAAGAAGGGTTTTCACTCAACTTCAAGATACAGAAAATAAATGTACAGAAGAAAACCATGGAGTCCAAGCAACATCAGCAAAGACAATGACTGCCAAAATGATACCAGACCATACTTTTATGAGTTTTATCATATCAAATGCTCAGACAGTAAATGACTGACACACAGACAGTGAAAGTGTACCAGGATGGCCACAAAGTGAGCAACCAGACACAAAGCAATACCCACCATGGTCAGTGCTATCAGCAACCAAGTTGCTGGACACCAACAATTGCTGAGTACATATTCCAGACGGAGTCCTGTGTTCTTAGTACAGTATAGCAGAGAACAAAGCAGAATATTTTTTGACTAACTGTCCATGAACAAAATTGAAATAAAAGGTCCATATTTTTAATTGTTCATGATAGAAAATTGAACACAAACAAGAATAATGGAATAAGGGAAGAATAAGTTCTCCAGTGTAAAGAGGTGCATCAATGCAGTATTTTTCAAGAATTGCCTGAGCCATCAATAAAAATTGGTTTGTTGCTATGTTCTGCAAGGAAATGGAGTTGCTCAAATTTAATAGAAAACTGTAAATAAATCAAGTCACATGGAACAAAATGTATGAGTTCTTGGAAGTCCGCTGAAATATTTATGAATTGATTTTTGTGATTTGAAAGGGAAGGGAGTTGTTCAAACAAAGTAACAATAATGAAAAGTAACAATAAAAACTAAATCAAGCTGGATCAGTCAATTGCCTTCTTGAGCCTCTAGTATAATAAGAGGCTCAAAATCACTTGGAGTTGCTCAAATTATTGTTGAGCAACTCCAAGTTGCCTCTAAGTTTGTCAGCTTCCAATATATAGGAGGCTCAAGATGACTTAGAGCTGCTTGGAGTCAATCTAAATTATTTTTGAGTGACTCCAAGTTTTTTATCCTCATCCATTATATAAAGATATGAGGCTCAACATTTGTGCAATTTCAAAGAAGAGGGAGTTGCTCAAATAATGCATTTAAAAATCACAAATAACAATAAAAATAACATATGAGGCAACTGCCTCCAGCTCTGATTTGAGTGGTTGAGCCTCATTTAAGAAGAGGCTGAAAATCACTTGTTTGGAGTTGCTCAAAATCATTATTCAGTAACTCATCCAAGTTGCCTCCAGGATTTTCAGCCAAGATAAGAGGCTCAAAATGTCTTCGAATTGCTTGGATTTGCTCAAAATTAGTTTTCAGGAGCTCCAATAAGTTCTTTCAAGTATTTCATGCCAAGACCAGAGGTTTCCTGCAGGGGTAAAAATGCTCAAAAATAATTAAGTGCTTATCTATAGGCCCCTAATTATTTTTGAGCATTTTAATAATAGACTCAAGTAATAGAAAAGTCAAGCTTCAAATATGCAATATGGTACCTGAAATGAAGAATAATCATGAGAATACAAATTCCTAAATACAATATACAAACCATCCCAGCTATATAGCTGCAAACTGTAAGAAACGCAGAATAAATAGGCTACCTTATGGCACAACACATAATAAATTGATTCATATGAGTGTTGCTGCAAGACGTATACTTACAACGTTTTTACGAAAAGCTATATGAATTAATGGCCTTACCCTTTACCGCGATCCGGATGATAAAATAAGCTACACAAATTTCCAAGTAAAACGTTCATCTCGGAAAACAGAGTTGAAGGAACGCGACCGCTTGAGAAAAGGCGCAGAAACTATGAATTCTCAAGGTCTCCGTGGGGAAACCATTATCTCGTCAAATTCCTCGAGTACTATATAGGACGCAGCAAGTACTCAAAGAAGTTGATATGATGCGCAAAAACATAATGCATCACGCGATATCAGGGGGAATTCTCAGTGATAAGGTTATCAGCATGCACGCACCACCCCCTTTTTCCTGCCTGAAAGGCATACATCATGCAGGTGTTTCCTCCTACATAATCTTTACAGTTCACTGTCTCAATTCATGTCTCATTGCAATAGTGTGTAGGTTGCTATACTTGCTGTCACTCTGCTTGTGTGGATTTGAATTATGTTCATTCGTCATCTGAATTATATTGAATCTCTTATTTTCTCTGGGATTTCCTATATGTATAGAAATACCCGCCCTGTTCCATATAGCTGCTGCCCAGCAAATAATTTTTAAGTTTTTCATGAGTTTTTCAAGTTTTTCAAAACCCATGAAAAACTGTCATCTGTAACATCACAGGTGATGGTCCCTCAAACCATCAATAATGGGTTACAGGACAATTATTTTCATGGGTTAATAGGGCATAAAAGTAATGGGATGAATTGGCATTAAAATAATGGGTATGTAATGGGCTGGTTGAGGGGGTTATTTTAATGGGTATTTCACCCATTCTTAATCCATCATGAAAAATGGTCAAAAATTAAAAAAAAACACACAAAATGGTGAATATTGGCATGCAAATATCCACCATTTTGTGCATTATAACAAAGGCATTTTTGCACCCACAGGATTTTTGAACAGCAGAATTTTTTTAACCACAGGATTCAATTTAAAAAAAAAACACAAAATGGTGAATATTGGCATGCAAATATCCACCATTTTGTGCATTATAACAAAGGCATTTTTGCACCCACAGGATTTTTGAACAGCAGAATTTTTTTAACCACAGGATTCAAAAATCCAGTCAACAGAAACTGTGCCATACAAAAATTGAGAGGGTACAAAAAATTACACTGGTATGGCATTTTTTTCTAACTGTGGGATTTGCTGATGGAGCCCTGTGGTGAAAACTGTGTCAAAGAATGTGCATAATGTTAGACATAGTTGTAAACACAAGGCTCCACTGGAAAATCCCCTGGTTACAAGAATCTGTTGATCAGCAAAATTTTGCTCCACAAAAATCCTGCCAGTGCAACACTTTTTCCATTTGAAAAATCAGTGTCAGATTGATCATCAAAATGAACTCAAAGAATGCTGTCTGTTCTGGTTACAAGAATCTGTTGATCAGCAAAATTTTGCTCCACAAAAATCCTGCCAGTGCAACACTTTTTCCATTTGAAAAATCAGTGTCAGATTGATCATCAAAATGAACTCAAAGAATGCTGTCTGTAGAAAAATATTGCTCCACATGTTGGACATGTGGCTGAAAATATTTTCTACAGACAGAATTTTTCACCTATACAACATGATTCTTTGAGTTCATTTTGATGATCAATCTGAGACTGATTTTTTAAATGAAAAAATTGTTGTACTGGCAGGATTTTTGTGGAGCAAAATTTTGCTGACCAGCAGATTTTTGTAACCAGGGTATTTTCCAGTGGAGCCTTGTGTTTACAAAAATTTCCAACATTATGCACATTATTTGACACAGTTTTCACCACAGGGCTACATCAGCAAATCCCACAGGTATAAAAAATTTCCATACCAGTTTAATTTTTTTTTATCCTCTGGATTTTTGTATGGCAGAGTTTCTGTTCACTGGATTATTGAATCCTGTGGGTAAAAAAATTCTGCTGTACAAAAATCCTGTGGGTGCAAAAATGCCTTTGTCATAATGCACAAAATGGCAGATATTTGCATGCCAATATCCACCATTTCCTGTTTTTTTTTTTGACCATTTTTTGTGATGCATAAAATATTTTTCTACAGACAGCATTTTTCACCAACAATATGTAATCATTCCTGGAGTTCATGTACCCCAGTCAGTTTTATCACAGCCTGGATTATCACAGTCTATGGTACTGCCATGTTTATCATATGCCAAAATAACTGGGATTTTACCCCTTCTCCTGCAGGGCATTATATGGAACTGTCCTCATGATGCCAAAATAACTGGGATGTTACCCCTTTCTCCTGCAGGGCATTATGGAACTGTCCACCCATGATGGATCATGTGTGATTCACCCATCACATCACCCATGATACATCATGGGCTCCAATTGTAATGCCTAAGTATTTGCTGGGTGGTGGATCCACACCAGCAGTTAATTGAAATTCATAATTTTATTCCTTGTGGCTTGTGCCACACAGGAGTGGTATATAGCAGAGCGTTTGAAATGATGATCCACTGATGGCAAAATAGAGCAATGACGTTAATCAAGCCAAAGTTAAAATCAAAATATCAAGTGGGAAGTAAAATTGTATTAGTAAGTCTCAAACTGGCAAAAAATTATATGACAATATTAATCATTCTGCACAAAAGAAGTACAGAAAACAAACTCATGTGAACAAAAGAATGGGTGAAGTTGATTCCAAAATTACTGAAAGAAACTTGAGAGTGATGTTGTCAAGTGATATTGGGAAGTGCAAATTTCCATGGATTCTTATATTGACTTGGCCTTCTATGCATCAAAGTCTTGCCATCAACATGCCATCAAAATCTGCTGTCATCATATCCTGTTTGTAAGTTTCTGCATGGCCGTGAAATGGCTCCCAAAAAATGCAAATATTGAATCCATTGAATTCATCATGCATGTGATGCTGTTTGTAAGTACTATGAGCGTCTTTTTTTTATAGCTTTACAACCTTGGAAACTGTAATCAGTCAAATACATGGAACTTGTATCAATTAATAAATTAATTGATGTGTCAAATTGATGTGAAATAATTTTTGGACGGACACAGTTTACTTCTTCACTCAAATTTTATTCTTTGTGGCTTGTGCGCACAAGCCACAAAGAATAAAATTTGAGTGAAGAAGTAAACTGTGTCCGTCAAAAATTCAAATCATGCTGGACCTAATGTCGATTTTTTGTTTGTTTTTCAGAACACCTGTACTGTATTGCTGTAAAAGAGACTGTGGGTGCATGCACCCACAGTCTCTTTTTTCATGCAATACAGTACAGGTGTTCTGAAAAACAAACAAAAAATCGACATTAGGTCCAGCATGATTTGAATGCCACAAGAAAGCCTCCCACCTCTGCTGCATGCAGAGGTGTAACATTTACAAATTCTACAATAAAGGGCTGTCACAACTTTTGGCTTAAACAGAGCATCTGTGCAGGCAACTTTATGAATGAACCAACATTTTAGAATATTTATAACAATGCGGTTATATATATTCTACTGATGCCATTGGAAAAAGATTCAGGACAGCACTGCTAAGATGTAGTTTCCTGAATACTTCCGGTTTAAAAATTATCCTGAAAAGATCGTAGATTTCACTTCCCAAAGTAGTTAGGATTCCTTTCGGCAAAACTGCATGCCATGGAAATCGTGAGTGGACTTATTCTCGCCGGAGCTAACACTAAACTCTTAACGAAGTGTTTATTAAACATCCTGTCAAAAAAAACGGATGATGAGTGACTGCAATAAAGCACTGTTGCTGGAATGCACGATTACCTTTTATTCCAACTGCATTTTGTAACAGTACTGAACAGAACGAATGGCTGCCCTTCGCCAATGATAATGCGAAACTTAGAGCTAGTTCATATCCAAAGCTTAAACTCATGAATTTTCTGCGGAACAAAAAACGTATTTTGTGCATTTCAAATTTTATATCACTTTTCTGTGCTGCCTTCGAACTCTTCTTGTAGTGAGTACTATAGTGACCCATGGCGACAGTGTGCCTGAGCAGCAGCGCTCTTTGATATTTCGTGCGACGGTTTCTTGCAGCAATCCTGACCGGGTATCCGCCGACATTCGTTCCTTGTTCCACCTTCCGAAATCTCAGAGTTCCCGCAGCTGTGGAAGCAGGTAGAGTGAGAAATCGCGAGTGTGCGTTGATGATGAGTGTTTCGCATGTGATGCAGTGTGCTGACATTTTTCCGAGGATTTACTGGTGTTCGGGTAGAATTGAAGATATTCATCGATGGTATTTCTGTATTCTGAATGTGTTTTATATCCATTCATCGTCCGGAGGTAATTACTGTGCACCGAATGAATGCCATGTGTGCTCAATAGCGTAATTTTTCATTGATGTTCTGCGCACTGCGTGATGATTTCAAAGTTCTTGCATATTTTCAAGTGTGAGCAGGCTGCATTCGATCTCCTAACAAATACTGTTGACTTGAATTACTGCTTAATCAGTTTTAATTCTATGCATTTTAAGTTAGGCTTGGCTGATGCATTTCGGGAAACAATGTGGTGACCGGTGAGGTGAATTTTTGAAACCGTGAAAAATCGGTTTTTCGTAAAATATCGCACGCGCTGGATTCATTATGGACCCACTACGGGTTCGCCGAAGAAGCGGTGAAATGCTTCTAGTGTTCACATACTTCGCCGTGTTCATCGCAAAGACTGTCCAAGGAGTGGACATCGCTTGTGCGAACATGCGGAATGCGTTCATCAGCTACGAATTTGACCCGAGAGATGTACCCAAGGAACCAGTGCGAGGCAAGTGTACAGTACTGTAATCCATCCCACCGCAGGGCTTGTGTTCCCCTGCTTTTTTTCGGGGTAGTTGGGTCAGGGTATGATTGAAACGTTGCCGAGGTCTTGAGGATTGTGTTGTTCCTTCTTGGTTCTGAAGGGGGACCATTATGCCCTGTTAAAAGGGGGCTGATAGTGCCTGTGCGTCCAACTGCGATGATTGAGGTACGGCGCCTGGGGGGAGGGGTTTTGGGTTGGAGGCTGCGGGGATTGAGTCGTTTTACCCCCCGTGAACCCCGTGTTGTGTTGGCGAGGCCGAGCGCACATCCTTATCGTCTGAGTGATGGGGTTGCGGCTCATTGTCCGACCATCGGTGTTGATGAAAATCTTGCTTGCTTGCGGATTTTGATGGTCACTGCCACCACCTTGACAACCCCGTTAACTTGAAATCAAAATGGTGAGCTTGATGTCAACCTTTGGGCTCCGATCGATGATTAAAAAACGTTGCAATTTTCATAGACATTTTCCGGTGAAAGATACTTCTTGTATTTAGCTAGGTGATGTCACCAACATGAGATCTTTTCCCTTTTCTCCTGAAAGGTCGTCTGAAAAATTTTGAATCATTATCCGAAATATCTTGAATGTGCGTGTGTCTCGGTAACCTTCCCTCGCTAGTTGTGTAAATCCTCTCAAACTCAAGAAATTCGGCGGTTGTCGTGGATTGTTCGCATATCCCTATTGAAAACCACGCATGCAGATAATTTGGCGGAACTTTGACTGAATTTCCTTTTGCATAGACCTCCCAGTGTGGCAAGAAAAGAGCTCGAGCAGGTTCTTTCCTTGGTTGTATTAGCTTGTTATTTTTAAATTCCATGTTTGAAAAAAAAAGCGGCACAGAAAATGAAAAGCAGGTATTGGTTACACGAAAAGAAAAAGAGGGAGGTTTACTCAAACGCACATCGGCATCGTTGAATTCCGAAGCAACAATTCCTCTTTCTTAATTATGGATGCTTTGATTAATTGCTTAAAACTGCACTGAAGTTCAACTGTGGGGCATGATTAGCAGATAAGTTTTTCTCGTGAAGAACTCACGATTTTTGCTGATACAGTTGAATCTCGATAACTCAAACTTCCGTAGTCAAATACAGTAGCTCCTTTTTTTCACGCCCCTTTCTAAAATCTCTTAGATACAATACAACGCATCGAAAATCTCCCTGACTCGAATGCTTTCACAATCAAACCTCCATAACTCAATTTTTTGAAGGCTTATTAGCCATAATTTCATTGAGACAAAAAGGAAAGAAGGAATAACAATGTTAACTTGATGTATTTTGAAACTATGTGAAAGACTATTAGGGGAAGAGAACCCTTACCTTCGCGAACCCTTAGTTGAGCATCCTTTCAACTCATTTTAGAAGCCATGTAAAGCCTGAAATATCACCAATTAAAATTTCCTGTAACTCTTGTTTTTCTTCGCTCCAATAAAAATGCTTGTTTACCCTAACTCAAAACCTGCCTAACTTGCATTTTTTGCTGGTCCTATACGGTTGAATGTAAAAGTTGAACTTCATGAAATATTAGACTTCTGAACGATCTTGAAATGCCGTTTGATTCTCTGAAGTATATATTTTTTTGTTATGTCATGCCTACAATTTCTGTTTCGTCGATTATGTGTAAGTATGATAAATGTTGTTTGTGATCTCTGTAATTTAAGCCATCAACTAATTCTGATTGATCACATTCTTCGGGGGATTAATTAACCACTAGAACATCGTTAATTATTTTACAGCCGAAGTAACCATAGTTTTCCACGTGACCTTTTCATTCATTTGTATAAATTGTAAAAGAATGATGTAATATATTGAATGTGAAGTAAAAACGCCTCGAGTATTATTTTCAAATGCTAAAATACAGTTGATAATGTTGAGTTTAGCTGCGAAAAATTTTCAGCCCTTTTCACAATACGCAGTGCAATTTTTTCGCGATTATCATTTGTTTTCTGTATCTGGAAGGGAACTTCTTTCTTGGGCAAATCGCGAGGATTGCGATTGAGGTGTAATTAAACCGAATGGTTCTCATCATTCGGAAAAAGTACTGTATGCAGGATATGAAGGAGGGGTTAATGTCTGTCCAATTACTGCTGATGAAGAAGTTCTCAGTCGGAGAGTCTTTGAGGAGAAAAAGTCCGTGACCTACATAAACTCGCAGTTCAGTCCCAAAGTTTTTTTTTTCTTCTTTCCACCATTCGTCCGGAAGTTTCCCGCTGAGACAATGGCTCGAAGCTTATTTTTCCTGACCCGACTTTGAGCGATGACCCGACCGACGCGAGATTGATGAACCCGGCGGAATGTTTGCGGAAATGTAACATAATCCACGGGGGGGGGGGGGAAAGGGGCGAACAAAAAATGTTCGAGAGTAATTTTTTCTCTTTTTTTTTATTCTCGAGACGGAAAGGAAATCGAAACTGAAGGTATTCGTGTTTCAGGAAACGAGTTGAGGGTTTGCAAGGCCAACTTGTCGTGTTGCACGGATAAAATGGAGGCGCAATTGGCGGAGAAAACGTCGCGAGACTTTGACGAGATGCTGCGACGAGAAATCGAGGGAGTGCAAAACATTTTTCGCACTCAAAGCAACAAGTTCGACGGTGAGCATCGAAATACTGTACCGTAAACATTTTTTGATGATGTATTAATATTGATTGTCAAAACAGAGGAATTCAAATCTACTACTGTACTGTACTATGATTAACCTATTTGAAATTTAAACCTGAAGCAATTGTTCTTGTTGAGAAAAACACTTGTATTTCTGAAAGAAAATGGGAAGAGGTCTGGAAAAACCTTTTGAACCTCGCGTTAAATATTTTTCGTTCAGAGTTTTCAGTTGGACGCTTGGCTGATTTTTCAGTCAAGAGGGCGGTATTACATACAGTAAATACTTTGATTTTATGTGAGAATTGGCTAGCCGTCGTTCGTTTTTTCGAAAAAAAAAATCATTCAAGTAGAACATTATAATAAAATTAAAATAAATATAATAATATTGCTGCTCATTTGCAGCAAGTTGTTTGGAAGGTAATTCTTGGTGGTCCATCTTCCAACAAAGTTTCGTGGGAGCTTTCTTAAAAGTACAGATAATTATGGTAGTAATCCGTCATTGGAAGGTCATCAGTAGATTGAATATTATTATTCATCCAAGGGTTTAGGTTTTTTTTTTAAGAAGCAATTCAGTAATATTTTAATAGAACCAAATAAACGAGAAAATTGTTCATTTCATAGCCAATTGAATGTTCGAGAGGAGCTTTTTAACAATGTCCTCGGTGGTCTCTGTCAGCAAAAAAAAGGGGGGGGGGAATGCTGAAAATTTGCTCAGGGCCCAAGCTTGACGTCTTTCAGTTTCTTCTAATTATCATTCAAATTTTTTTTAATTGTGTTGTTCGTGGTTCTTCCAGGCCATAGGATGCCCGTGGATTGAAGCTAGAGTATTATTTGAGCATCTTTAAAAAAATGCACGACTGCTTGGACAAATCCCAGGTTCACTGGGTTTCTTTTTCTTTCTTTTTTTGTTGTTGTACTCAAGTGCGTGGGTGTCGCGTCCCATTCTCGTGTTTCCAAGTTCTGTGGGCATGGAATGTGTGAAATATGTGATGAAAGAAAAATGGTCGTGTGTATGTGTGTTGTGCAGAGTACTTCCGGGAGCTGCTGCGGAAATCCCGACGGGACTTTCACAAGCTATTCAAAGACACGTACGGCGTGATGTACGAGCAAAACAGCCACGTGTTTGTGGAGCTGTTCCGCGACCTGGAGGACTACTACGAAAAGGGCCGAATCGACCTCAACGACGCCCTCAAGAAGTTCTTCTCTGTTCTCTACCAGAAGATGTTCACAGTGCTCAACGCCCAGTTTCACTTCGACGAGGCGTGAGTTGGGAGTGGGGGGAAATGAACGAACACGACGGATGATCCAACTTTAGAGAGCTTCACGGTCGAACCTTCTTTTTTCGAGTCGAACTTTGAAGGACCGACCGACGAGAAAAATTTGAGTTGGGTTGTACAGTACAGGAATTGCTTTTGAAATACAGCAAATACTGTAGATGGAAAAAAACCCCGTTTCTAGCGAGATACAGGGTCTGTCTGCGAAACATGAGCGCGACGAAGACATTTGAATGATCAATTTCGGTGCTTTTACAACAACAACAACAACAACGAAAAATTAAGATGCTGTACTTTACTTCACTTTCATGTCCCATCCATCGTCATTCTTGAATCAGCGCACAAGAGTCGATCGGATTAATGGTGGAATTTTTATGAAGATCAATGCAAATTAATTGATTCTTTGGAATAGTTTCTTAGCTTCAACTGACTCTTCGCAGATGTTCTCCAAGTGTTCTCCAATAATGGCGACGCAATTAAGGGAGTGGTTTTATTTAAAATTATAAGGTTACAACAGACATAAAAACGACGAGTTTCATATTCGTTATTTTCAGCTTCCACTGATGACTTCAATACGTGACTGAATACGACTTAAAGTCGAACCTCTCTAAGTCGAATTTCGAGGGACCTGCAAAAACTTCGAGCATTTTTGTAGTGGGAAAGATGAAGAATTGCAGGAAATTGAAACTGCTCATTGAATGAGTTGAAGGGATGCTGAACTTGGAGGGTGAGGGCTCATTTGACCAATTCGTATTTCCCTTCCTTTCAAATGAAGTAAAGTTGAATTTTTATTGCTTTTCTTTTTCCTGTGTCGATGAAATAATAGCCGAAATGCCTTCAGAAGAAATTTGAATGATGAAGGTTTGAGGAGAAAAGCCTTTTGGGTTATGGAGTTTTTTTTTTATGCGTCGTTCCTAAGGGAAGTGGACTTGCAAAAATATTTTGACGTATGAAGATCTTCGACTTGGAGAGGTTCGAGTTATTCCAGATTCAACTGTAGGAGAAAAGAGGGTGAGGAAAAACCCGGGGTGTCGACTTTATGTATGTTTGTTTGCTTTTCCGTCGCGGTTCAAAAATATCTCTGGAGTATCTTTGCGCAGAAGGGCCGGAATGGACGAATTAGTCTTTGTTTGGGGGGTCATTAAGAGGCGTTAATTGCGTGTTTCTGAGCGATAAAAATCCCCCGAATGGACTTCATGGCGGCGGAAAGGCGTAAAAAATATTTTTTTCGGTCGATGTATTTTTTTTTTTTTTTTGTTGTAAAAATCAGGAGCTAGGTGCGCTTTTTTTTATGCGTTTGGTACTTGAATTCAGATACTGTATAAATATTTACGAGGCTTCGTCCGGCGGCGGTTTCAGGGTCATTCGTCGTTGTTTCGTTGCTCATTATTGGGGCACGAGCACGCGAATTTACATCTGTGATTGCGTCCGTGATTGAGGAATCATGATTCTATCTACGACGGTACAGTCAATGCAGTAATTTTATTCTGTCCCCATTGAGGCACTGTAATGGAAAGTACTGTATTTCAAAGAAATGACGGCGAAGTGCTTCATCTTGAAAATGCCGTACTTGTGTAACTGTCGTCGACTCGTCGTCTCAGTTACGTTTACGTCACTTGACTTTACATGGGGAAGAAGAACCTCGATGAATCGAACGTCTCTAAGTCGAATTTCTTTCAAGTCAAAATCTGAATCCCCTTAGAAACAATGCATTAAAGACCTCTCTAACTCAAGGTTTTTTCCTGTAAAACCTCCGTAACTCGAATTTTCTGAGGCGTTTTGGCCTTTATCTTTTTGGCACTGGAAATGGAAAAGCAATACAAAAAATGTAACTTGAAGTGTTTTGAAAATAAGTGAAAAGCTAAATGTGCAAAGGAATTTTTGCCTCCAAGTTCAGCATTTTGTCAACTCATTCAAGAAGCAATTTCAGGCCCAAAATATCATCATTTACAATTACCTGCAATTTCTCCATCTTTCCCAGAAAAAATACTTGTTTTCTTAACTCGAAACCTCCCTAACTCGAATTTTTTGCTCGTGCCTCAAAATTCGACTAACAGAGGTATGACAGTAAGTCGTACTTTTAAGTCATGTATTAAGGTCATCAGTTGAAGCTGAAAATAGGAAATGTGAAAGTCGTCGTATTTCTCTGTGTTGTAAATTATAATTTGGAATTTAAATACTGTCCACTTCGCCATGAATGGAGAATACTTCGAGAACATCTGCGAAGATTCACTTGAAGCTGTGAAAGTATCCTGATAAATCAATTATTTTTTTATGGCACTTCATAAAAATTCCACCATTAATACGATCGATTCTTGTGTGCTGCTTCAAGAATGAAGATTGGACCTGAAAGTAATATGTAATTAAATCTGCCTGGAGTAAAGTATCTTAATTCATTTTTCTGCATTTAAAAAGTGCCAAAATTGATTATTCGTATGTGTTCCTCACGCTTATGTTTTGAAAACCCTGTATCTCGTCAGAAACGGGTTTTTTCCTTCGTTTAAAAAAAAATTCTCATGAGGTGATAACCGTGACAGTGCCTTCTTGGTATTCTTTACGCTCAATCAAATGACTCATCCTAGTCTATACTTGAAACTTATTCTCAGTATAGTGTCTCATTGGTGTACAACTGTAAATGAACGGAACTGTATTTACTTCAACTCGACGTAATCTGAATGATAAATGGAGTAGAATGAAATGATGTCTCTGTACAGTAGTTAAAATACTGCGACAGTCTGGATAGAAATTTTTTTTTTCAGTCGGGATTCGTGGCAAACGGAACTCGTTTCCTCTTTCGGAGACGATTACTGGAACTGGTTCGACTGATTGAATTATATAGTGTTCCTTGTTGCGAAAGAAGCAGTTGCCTTGCCTCGCGGGTTAAATTGGTCGGCTTCCTGTTGGAAGCAGTTTTCTTGTCCGATGTCGTTTGGAATGAACTGTTGAATTTTCTCACGGTCGTAAAAGATGGAATAATACATGAAAGGGGGGGGCGGAAATGCTGGGTATCAGTGCGATGAAACCATTTGCCCTCGACCCCTTTGCAGGTACCTTCGTTGTGTGACTCGTCACATGGAGGATTTGAAGCCGTTTGGAGACGTGCCGCAGAAGCTGAGTTTCCAGGTCAAGAGGTCGTTCGTCGCTTCGCGGACTTACGTGCAGGGACTTCGAGTCGCCCGGGATATTTTGAGTGAAATTCTCAAGGTGCGTGTTGATGTGTGTAACCCGCCCACGTGATGTTTAGTGGTTGCGGTGGTGACTTCCTCAAAAGTTGTCTTTTTTGGGGGGGGGGGGGGGCCTCGTTTTGAATTATTAGCCTTTTTCCGTGGTGGCCTCCCACGTCATTATCCTGTCTCGCCGATTGCGTGGACTGTTATTTTCTTGCCCGAAATTTCCTGACTTAAACGTGGGTAACAGAGTTGGGGTTTGGAACTGGATCAGACACATTTCCTTTGATTGGTTCTCCTTCGATGAACTACAGTGGGGCCCTGACATGTGGACAGTTCGTCTTTGGGGCACTTGAAGCTAAAAAAAAAATATGTCTCGTTATCTGGATTGTGTTTCGAAATACGGACACTCTACCAACATTTCTAGACAGACGTGAAAAAATTATAATTTTAGTTATCTACAAAAATTAATAGATTTTTTGAAAAATTTACTTTTAATTCATTATCCAACAGAAGTTATTTGTGCATCTTTTTCAGGATTTTCCTTTTCATCATTTGTGCTCAGTGTGACAAGACTTTTGCTTTTTGGGCTCCTTTGCAAGTCAAATGATCACATTCTCTGTTCCTCCTGCGCAGTTATTTTTTATACCTTGGAAGTTGAAGAAAATGGTTTTTGAATTTTTGGAGGACTTTTTGATGAACAAGAGAACAAAATAAATATGTTCCCAGTGAAGTCTATGAAAAAACTTGATCCGTATATTCCTACGAGGTTCAAGCATCAATTACGTCTGCATCTTGGGGGCCCACTGTATTTCCTTGAGCTTTCTAAATTTTTATTTTACGAGACGCTCTGCGAAAGTGTTCTGGCGCAGGTGGAAGTGGAGGGGTCTTTTTTTTTCAATTGTATCGCCCAGCTATGCTTTCCAGAATGACGAGTGTATTTTATTAAGAATACCGAAAAGCACTCATGTTAACTTGGTGTGTGAAAATCGGAGCCGAAGGGATTGAATGAATCGAGCATTGAATTCAGCGTAAATGTGTTCGGCGAGGAATCTTGTGCATCTGTAAATTCAACCAACTGTTGACAAAGTTGTTATCCAGGAAAGGAAGAATCTATTCCTTTCCCTCAAAAACTCGGATCTACGTCCGAGTGATAAATACCCGATTTTCGGATATTTGGGCTCACGTTGGAGTGTGTATTCAGGAGTATTTGAGATTACGGATTGAACCGGTGATTTGAACTCGAAGTGTTTATTACAAAATGTGGCTCAGAAAAAGCTGTTGTTGCTGATAATTTTATATATTGAGTCGAGAAAACTGTTTTTACTTGGCCCTATTTTTTTACACACCTCAAGCGTGTGTTTTCTCCCCCTTGAAATTCTGCCTTTTTTCATTCAATGATTTTTTTCAATCCGCATTTTTTCAATCATTCTGAAAGCGTGTTTAATTTCTGAATTTGTTCAAGCTTCATTATCGGCTTCCTGTGTTTTGAAAATGGATTTTGCCATTCCCTCGTCCTAATGCCGTTTGCTTTTCTTTTTTTCTTTTTTGGAACTGAAATGTAGGTGCGGATGAGTTCGTCGTGCAAGGACGCAGTGATGAGAATGACCAGTTGTCCTGCCTGCAACGGGTTGCGGTCTGGCTCCACCCGGCCCTGTATGGACTACTGTCTCAATGTTCTCAAGGGATGTCTGGCGTTCCACGCTGAGCTGCACACGGACTGGGACGAGTTCATAGGCGAGTGTCGCTTTTATTATTTTTGTGTCTGACTGTGTATATCTTCAATGCAGGATACGGATAATTTGAAACTGGACCAAGTGAGACAAGCTTGTAGACTGGGAAATTTTGATCAACATTCTTTCCTTGCCCATCACGTGCATTCTCCTTTGAAAGAATCTGTCCTGACGGAAGAAGTCATATACAGTGCTGATTTTGAAGTTCCTCAGTGTCTTCTGAAAAAGGCGAAAAGCTTTGAAGCAGAATTGTCTTGTTTGGGGGTAAAGCAACTGTAAGGAAGATGGCATTGAGCTCCATTCACTAAGTCTCAAATTGATGCTCAAATGTTTCTGTATCAAGTTATCCTTGTCTCAACATTTTTTCTGTCAATTTGATTTTTCTCAAATTTTCTCCGTCTTAAATTGTCCGAGATCCCCGCAATACGTAGTACTGGAGTATAGGACAATTTTATGTTTGAAATGAGATGTTTTTTTTTAGAAGATTTACTACAGTGGAACACCAGCATGCAGACATTCTTCCTTTTTGGACTGTTTCCATGTGACAGGAACATGTGCATTTTGGATTACACTTTCCTGTGGACTTCAATGGGAATATTTGGATCACTTTTCCCTGTTCAGCAAAAATAAATTGGAAAAAATCATCCAGATGATTAATTTTAGAAATTATCAACTTTAAAATGCAGTAAATGACTGCAGAAGAAGAGAAATGCAAAATCTGTCCTTTGGCCTGAAGTCTGCTCAAGCTCACACATGGCACAAAGTTGATGGAAACCAAATGGAAAATATATTGCAAAAAACTAGCCTGTTTTGTATTACGAATTACAGTATAATGTAGTACAGTACATTTATTATGAGATATTTTTAATTTTTATCCGTAGAAATATTTAATTCATGAGAGATTTCCAACATTTTGAATAATCTGAAAAATACAGTATACAGTAATATTTTAATTCTTGTGGGAATAATCGCAAAGTTTCTTCATGTCGAGATATTTTCCAGATGTGTGGGCAGATTTTTTGAATTTGAAGTTTCTGTAAGATGAGGTGAAAGAAATGTCATGTGCTCACTGTACTGCCTCTGAGGCGCTGGAACTCAATTAAAAACGTAGTCTTGACTTGGATCAAAAGCGTTTAAATATCCATTGTAGCTTACTGTAACCAGACAGATGCTGTATTATTCATTCAACAAAAATGAATTCAAGTGTCCGTCCCCCCCCCCTCTTCCTACACTCAGGAAAAAAATTTTTTTAAGAGAGGATGTTCTGGTGAATTTTGAAGAATTTTGTCCTTGATTCCACTTTATGTCCCAAGAGCCAGTCACTTTGAGACTTTGTCTGCCTTCATTGGGGGTTTTTCTTCAAATACAGTACTTTTATTGCAACATGTTCCTAAAAAAAGTTTGGTATACAGTACTGGAATTGGCAGGTTTATTGTAACAAGATTTTTATGACATGTACCCTATAGGATTTCTGTCGGGACTTTGAAAAGAAATTCTTTTACTGAAAATTTTGTTGTAACAAGATTTTACTGATGTATTTAAAAAAAAGGGTATGAAAATTTGCCAATACGCAGGCACAAAAAGGGTTGTGGAACACTGTTACTGTAAATAGCTAGTGTCTGACCTATTTTCTGGTTTTTGATAATTTGCAGACGCGTTGTTGAAAGTCGGCGCCCGCCTGGACGGCTCGTTCAACATCGAGGAAGTCGTGGACCCGATTGCGATTCAAATCAGCGACGCCATCATGAACTTCCAGGAGAACGGCAACTCGGTCTCGCAAAAGGTGTTCAAGGGCTGCGGCCAGCCCCGGTTGGAGAAGCGCAGTGTGCCCCCGGGCGAGCCCCTGATGTTGAGTGGCGGCAGTCGGTCGCGAGTGAGGGACGACGCCTTGTCGCATGACCACGGCGGCGAGCCGCCGATAGTCGGCGGGGTTTCGATCCGGAAGTTTGTGAAGGAAGTGCGAGAGAAGGTGGAGATGCTCAAGGGCTTCTGGTTGGAGCGGCCGATGACGATTTGCAGTGGTGGTGGCGGCGGTGGTGTCGTTGGCAGCGGAGGAGGAGGAGGAGGTGCTGGGCCAGGTGGAAAGCAGTCTTTCATTGTCGCCGCTGTCCCGAGCACGAGTAGTAGCAGCAACGCGAAGGTATTGTTTAAAAGAATAAAAAAATAAAACAAGTGGTCTGTAACCTGTGGTCCGCAAAATTTTTTTTTTTTGCTGGTATGCGGTAAATTTTATCTAGTGGAATAAACTTTACGAAGTTATTAATGACGTTGGTTACCTTTATCTGAAATTGTGGAAAGACAAAAGCAGTTGTTTTCTCTCCTAATAACACTCGAGACAAATTTATATCTGCTGAAAGGAATTATTTCAAGTATTCATTTTGAGAAAGCCTTCTTGAAGCCCACCTTTTTTTAAAGATATTCCACTATAGCTGCCTGAAGTTTTTTCTAAATATTATGGAGCTTTTCCAGTCTGCAAAAAATTGTGAGAAAATTTCCCAGTCCGCAAAAAATGTTCAGGAAATTTGCTGGTCCGCGGGCCATGAAGATTGGGGAACACTGTTTTGGAATACTTTTTAAAATGAAGTCTTGCATTTTTCACAATTTTGAAATATTGTTTTCAGTTTTACTGTCTTAAGAGAAGAATCAAAATCAGTTGTGTCATATGCACAGCTGAGTTTATGTGTGTTGGTGAGGAATAAACTGCTTTTTAGTCTGTCATCTTGGAACTGAAATGAATCCCCTGTTTCGGAGTGATGAACTACTGTATTTCCCATAATTTAAATTTTCAATTCAGTTTCAACCCAATTGAATTAATTTTCAAAATATTGAATATGCATAATCTTCGGAAACGTTTTTATGGTTTCCTTCCGCAGCACTTCGTTCAAAGGATCATGTACTCAACGCATGAATGAATTGATTTCATGCTTGGTCTTAATTGCTTCACTTTCAACTTTTCTTGGGATGAATTTCCTTCGCAAAATTTATTAAATTGAATGAGAATTCGTTTTTATTTTGACAGAAATACTTTTCAAAATTTTTGAACATTTTACTAGATGTAAGAAAGAACGTATTTGGAGGGAGAAAATATTTACCATTTTCTTGTTGTCCTGCACACATTTTTGTGACACTAAAATGAATGGAGAAATCTGGCCTTAACAGGAAAATTCTCTGTTATCAATTAATCATCAGTGCACTAAAAAATCTTGAGGTCAGAAAAAGGCCAGGCGTCAAAAGCATCATGGGGAGAATTATATAAATTTTTGCACATTTTTGCAAGTGTGAAAAATGGATAATGCAACTCTAGACTGGGACAAGCGTCGAAATAATAAGCCCTGGTGTATATTATTATTACCACGTTACCACGTTTTTATGAACTCACTTTCTTGTCTGTCTGTCTGTCTGTTTGTCCGGATCAAATTTTGAAACTCAAATTTCACTCACTTCCCGACTAGCTATCAAGCTGAAACTTTCAGGATAGCCTAGAAACTGATGACAATGCAATCTTTTGTGAAAAAATAAATTTTAAGAATATTTTTTAAAAAGAATAAAATAATTATAGTAGATTAAAAAATTAATCTAAAAAACCACGTTTTCAAAAAGCAAAAAATAACCTTAAACGTGGTGCGCATCTATTTCATTTGTATTTCACTTCTTCCCAACAATCTCCATGCGCACCACGTTTAAGGTTATTTTTTGCTTTTTGAAAACGTGGTTTTTTAGATTAATTTTTAAATCTACTATAATTATTTTATTCTTTTTAAAAAATATTCTTAAAATTAATTTTTTCACAAAAGATTGCATTGTCATCAGTTTCTAGGCTATCCTGAAAGTTTCAGCTTGATAGCTAGTCGGGAAGTGAGTGAAATTTGAGTTTCAAAATTTGATCCGGACAAACAAACAGACAAGAAAGTGAGTTAATAAAAACGTGTTAATTAATTAGAAAAAAAAATGTTCCAGGGGGTGGGATTGAACTCGGACCTCTGCGACCAATTCAGTTCACCATGGGTTTTTTTCTTGGGGCCAAGGAAAACCTGCTCAAAGTTTTATTATAGAAATCTACTATAATTATTTTATTCTTTTTAAAAAATATTCTTAAAATTAATTTTTTCACATAAGATTGCATTGTCATCAGTTTCTAGGCTATCCTGAAAGTTTCAGCTTGCTAGCTAGTCTGGAAGTGAGTGAAATTTGAGTTTCAAAATTTGATCCTGACAAACAGACAGACAGACAGACAGACAAGAAAAGTGAGTTCATAAAAACGTGGTAAAATAACCTTGAACGTGGTGCGCATGGAGATTGTTGGGAAGAAGTGAAATACAAATGAAATAGATGCGCACAGGTTTAAGGTTATTTTTTGCTTTTTGAAAACGTGGTTTTTTAGATTAATTTTTTAATCTACTAAATTTTTTTTTCAAATATGGTACTGTAAACCGCATCTCTTATTCCCTGAGGAATAGGATGCGTGTTCATTTGTGAGTGATTGAATGATCTCGGCTGTGGGCCCGTGAAAGGGCGAATGAATAAAGTCGTCCCTATCTCACCCATTGACAATGACGGACGTCATTTTTGTCTTGCCTCGGTATCCAGGGAGGAGACACGCAGCAGTGTTGGACCGGCACGGACAACAAGGCTATTTACGCGGCGCCTGTTGTGGGCGACGGACTGAAGAACCAGGCGTCGAACCCGGAGGTGTCCGTGGACCAGTTCGCCGCCGACACGACGATCAACGACCAGATCCTCGACCTCAAGCTCATTATCTCCAAGCTGATGAAGGCCCACGACGGCGTCAATGTTGATTGGATCGACTACGGTCAGTCATGTGGGCCCCATTCGTGTTTTGTTTTGTTTTTTTTTTTCGCATTCGTTTCCATTATTTACAGTGTGTTTCGTGTTAATAATCTCACCATGTGAGTGCAAAAGGGAGGAATCATATTTTGGGCCGATCTACAATATTTACTCGAGTACCATGCGCCATCAAGCACAGCGCGCACCCCCATTTTTCCACCAAAAATTAGTTCAGAAACCTATCCCCGTGTAAGACGCGCACCCCAGATTTTGTTGTTGCGGAAAATCAAAAAAAGTGAAATTAAGTTGAAATGTGAACATTTTTTTTTTTTTAATTCATTTTTCCTCATTATTTTGTCTTTCTCTATCTACAGAAGCAGTTAAAATGCATTTTCAATGTAGGACAGCTTCCTCAATTAGATGAATATTACCCCCTTCCTTTACTTACTGTTGCATCTCCAAGGGATGAAAGAAATTGAGCCATTATTCCCCATGCAGGAAGAGACTTGGAGCCACACTTTTCCTCTTCAATTGTTTTACTTGGATGTGAGGGGTACTGGTTTTGGGAATTTGTCTCTGAAATGTATCCCCAAGTATTTTTCTGTTTCAATTTCTAGAAAAAAGGTGCGCGTGGTACTTGAGTTAATACGTATACCGCCATTGCAATGTCAAATACCCGTATTTACTTGAGTACAGTACCACGTTCCCCGCCCTTGAGGAAGACGTGTCTAAAATTTTGATTAAATTGTATGCTCAAAGTGAAACACGCACCCCATTTAAAAAAAAACTGTGATACTGCAATATTATGAAAATAAATTTGAATTAAGACGTGGATTGAACCTGAATTCAATTAATTTTCAATTGTCCCCATGAAAATGAGTTTTTCTGATTAAACTGGTCCAAAATTCAACTGGTTCATATATATTCGTTTTGTTAGTTTTTATCTTGTTGATAACCTTAAATTTCGTCCTCCGTGCAGAACTTACTTGCTTATTCTCAGTATGAGAACATTTTTTAGGCCCCACGGAAAAACGCGTTTCGAATTACAAAAATTTAACCGCATCCAGGAACGGTTTAACGGAGGCAGACGTTGTCTACTCATTTGTATGTCCTTGACCCCATTTTAATCTTTTTTGCATTACACAGAGGACTGGAAATCACCGTCACGATGGAATGAACAGAGTGGAGGCAAGAATGCCGAGGACAAATCCGGTCGTGGGCGGAACCGTCAGCAGTCGAGGACGAAAAGTGGCAGCTCTGGCGACGGGAACGACGCAAACGACGGCAGTAAAAAGAAGGAACGTTACCCCTACGCGTATCCCTGGGCATCGGGGATGGCGAAGGAAGAGGACGGCGAGGAAGGGTCCGGCGCCGTGCCACCGTCGTCGTCGACGACGACGACGCACCGCCGCCCGGGCAAGGAGGACGTGGAGTTGGAGGGTAGTGGAGCGGACCGAGGCGTTCCTGAGACGAGGTTGTCTTCTGCGACTGGTGAGAATGAAGTGGCGGCTTTTTTAAAGCTTTGTTCTTTGTCATAACGGGAAGTAGAAAGTGTTTTGGAGGGATACGCGTTCAATTTTCGGAAGCAGTAAAATACAGTGTTTTACAATATGGCCCTGAAATTCTAACGTAATCGGTGCTTTGCCCTTATTGTCCCCATGTCGGATCACGTTTTTCCATAGGCTTCAATGGGAACATATTTAATTGGTTCTCCTGCTCATCAAGAATTGGGAATATAATCCCCGAAATTTCTCCACTTCAAGGTACAGAAAATAACTGTGCTAAAGAAAACTGGGCAGAATCTGAGATTTTGGTATAAGAACGAGCTCCCGAAGCTTAGAACACAAACGAATTTAGCTTCGAAGCGCAAAATTATGTTTTTGATTATGAATTGGAATAATTTTAAGATTCAATTTATTTATAATTTTTAGGAAGGAAGATAGCTCAATTTGTTCAAGAGATATCACGATTTTAGAAAATGAAGTTTCCTTTATTTGTTTTTACGTCGGCAAAGCGTCCGTATATGAAGACATTGTCCAGATCTCGGGGGTTTTTTTAGGTTTCAAGTTTTGTTGAGTCGAATCGTCCGTATGTCGGGGTCCCACTGTAATTTTCAACACTTGTCAAGAACTTGAGGAAGGTTTTCATGGTGTCCTGTCTTTTCTCACTTGGAATGAAAGAAGTCGCACATTTTTTTCTTTAGTGAACATTAGTTTCCTTCAGTGTTGTGAAGTTTTCGACAGTTTTGTCGTCTTTAGGTTCAGCTCTTGCTCATTTGTCTCGTCGAGTCTGGAACCTTTTTTAGTCAAGTCTGTTCACTGCAAAGGTGAAAGCCTTTTCGTACAGTATCAAATGCGCGTGTGTTCAGCACCTGTTTTTACGATGTAAAATCATCATTTGCAAGTCTGGAATTTAAGGCGTTTAACTTCGCCTCTAATTTTGTCTGGCGGAACTCCAGCATGGCGGCATTAGAAAATGACATCTTTCTGGGCTATTAATTACCGTTTCCAAACTGCTTCGTGATCGGGAAGAACCCGTTTTTCCCCGTGTGGATAAAACTCGAGCTGGCTTTTTGAAAATCAGCTCGTGTCTTGTGAAATAGGATGGATTGTGTTTATCTCGAATTACGTTCAATCTCGTGTCTGATTGCAGATTTATTGAGTCACGCGGATGACGAAGATTTCCCGTATGTGCCGGCCGGCACAATAAGCGGTCGGCGGAATTTCGAAGACGAAGGCTCTGGTTTCAGTGGAGTCGTTCTTCCCCCGTCGCCCGGCTCTCGGCCGCCTGCTCCTCCGATTTCCGGTGAAGCCGTGGACGACTTGCTTCCTCGTCGGTACGCATGAAACTACGAACAAACAGCTTTAGAAAACAAAAAGGAAAAAAAAAGATATTAATTCCGAGGTAGTTTTCAAAGTTGGGACGCAGTTCCGTCCTGGCAAAAACAGCGAGGCACGGCGTTTGCCGGTATACTTCGCATCGATCTGGAAATTTATTGCATGAGTCTCGCTTGGAACTGCTTATGTTTGTACAACTAAGTGTTCTCATCTGGAGTTGAGGTTGCTTTCAATAGGATTAGAAAGGCTTATGTATGGTTATTTGAGTTTAGAGAAGGTTGGTTTTCTTTTTTTAAATTTAGGTTTGGTAAGTTAGATTACAAGTTAGGTTTGGTCTAGGTTAGCAAAGGTCAGTCAGATTAGGAAACTTTTCATCAGTGTTCCCAAATCCGTGGACTGGCGCTGGTCTGCAGTAAGTTTTTTGCCAGTTTGCGAGAAATTTTCTGCAGCACATAAAATTATCAAAAGTTGCAATGAAGTCAATTATCTTCATGTGAAATTTCAGAAAAACAGTGGCAGTTGAAAGTATCTGATGAATAATGAAAGTTGGCTTGTCTCCTATATAACACTGCAGAGACATATGCACCTGCTGATATAAATTATTTTAATTTGTCATACTGAGAAACCTTTCTTCAAGCCCACCTTTCTATTTTTTTTTTTTACTGAAATTCATTTATAGTTTCCTCATTGGTGCTTAATTGAATTTTTTTCAAAGAAAGCAAACTTTTAAATGCCGTACATTCCATAAAGTCTTTCAAGCAGCACTTTTTGAGTTTGCAAAAATGTGAAAATTTGCTGGTCTGTGGACAATTTTAAAGAAACTTTGCAGGTCTACAAAGAAATTTATGGAAATTTGCTGGTCTGTGGGCCCAAAAGGTTGGGGAACACTGCTTTAAACTGTACGTTTCAAAAATCTTTTTACAATTGAACCTTGATGATTTGCGCCTCCCTAAGTCAAAATTTTTCTAGTCCCTGTCTTATTTTCCTTGGAAACTGTGCATTAAAAACCTCTGTAACTCTAATGCTTTTCCTTTCAAACATCCATAACTCAAATTTTCGGGGTTCTTTGTCAATCATTTTCTTGACACAGAAAAAAAGCCATAAAAAATGATGTGTTTTTAAAGTAAATGAAAGACAAATTGGGCAAACAAACATCTGCTTCCAAGTTCAGCATCCTGTCAACTCATTTAAGAAGCAAATTAAGGCCCACAATATCATCATCTACTGTATAATACTGTATCCTGCAATTTTTTTTATCTTTCCCGCAAAAAAGTGCTTGTTCACCTAACTTGAAACCTCTACAAGTCAAATTTTTTTCTAGTCCCTTGAAATTTGACTCACGAGGGTCAAGCATATTTGGATAAAATGTCCTTCTGTTCATTAATACCCTTTGATTGCTGCAGCAATGACATCTAGTCTTTTTTTCTGAAGTTGAAGGGCAGTATGGAACCGGCCCCGAAGTAAGTTCTGCCGAACTATTTACATCAGGTGTCGTCTGGCTTTCGTTACGAATCCAGGATTAACATTAAAGTTAGGATTTTTTTTAATACTGTATCGGGTGTATTCTTGTTCAGGTTCGAAGAGCCTAATGACTTCAGGCGACACCTTCCCGACGTTTAAAAAAGCAAAGTTGTGTTGAAGAAGAAGAAAAATATATGCTTTATTATGTGGCATTTGACGTGACGCTTCAGGTACAAGAACAATCAGAATGGTGTACTGATGAAGGACGTCGGAGGTGCTCCGAAGCCATCAACGACGACGACGACGTTCAGGAGCGTGACGCCGACGACGTTCGTCGACAGGTCGCCGGTGATGACGACGACGCCGCCGCCGCCCAGGTCCAAGATTACCAAGTCGTCGTCGCCGAGCGCCACGAAACGGAGCTCGCAACAGTCGCTTTTGTGGACAGTGTTCACGCCCATGTTCGTCACTTGGGTCGGTGGTATCTTCGTGTGATCTTCTCGACGACGTCTTCGCTGCTGTTTCATGAGTGCCACGAGGGGGAATGTGGGAAGAACGACACGACATCTCCTCTCTGGGCAGGGAAAACCCGCCGAGTTGGGGGGGTTTTCTTTCTTTCTTTTTTTTTTGCAGGGTTCCACGAAGAAATGGTGCCTCTTAAGTAATTTGTCTCGTTGGAATTGTTGTTCGTTGTTCTGAGACGTTTTGAGTCGATTTTGGGACTTTGTCTCGGGGTTGGTTCGAGGCACCATTTTGATAAATGAGGTTTCTTTTTTTCTGGACCGATGATGCGTTTGCATCATAACCCTAGTCAACGACATCTTATATGAAAAAGCTTCGCACATTGATGTTTGTTTTGATGGAAAAAAAAAACAAAACAAAACCTGCCGCGTTTTGTGGAGATCTTGGGGCATGTTTAACAGGAATTAAGTTCACGGCAATTTCTAAATCCCCGGAAGTGCGACGTACGAGAATTTTTTTCAAAAGGTTTACTAGTCATTTTCCAGTCATTGGAGGCATTCCACCGTCGAGGCAAAATCTGCGTGGCTATGGTTTTCATATTTTGCATTGCCTTGTTCTAGCATTTTACTGTACTGTACTTGTGTGTCTTGGAGACGAAGATTGACGACGAGGCAGCTGGAAAGCACAAATGATTGAAGTTTCATCGCTGCGCAATTCTTGCTGTTTGTTGCAATCTTTTTCAGTGTTTTTCAACGAAATAACTAATCGGTGATGAAGTCTTCAATTTTTTTTGAAAGCAGCGTCCTCAAATTTTGAATTTGGCACAATGTAAACGACGCAGCAAATGACGATGGAAATTTTCAGAAATTTTTGGCAGCGATTTAAAAATCTTGGGAGAAGGACGGAGAAATTTCTGTGTGGAAATGAGCATTTTTAAAAAGGAAACTTGAAAAGAAAATTGGTGTTGAATGTCGTTTGCCACCGTATTTTTCATCACAGAAATGATGCGTGAGGCAAATGAAAGCTCGGTCGGCCGACTCCGATGACAGTATTATGACCCTCGGGAACTTTTTGAAAACTTCCTCTCGTATTTCAGTTCATCTCTCCCACACAAAAAATAAATGTCTGTACTTCGAATTCAATGTTTAAAGAGAGAGAAAGAAAGAAAAAAATCAAAGAAAACTGCATTTCGAATCGAGCCGCAAGTTGTGTGAAAGCCCATGAACTTTCTCCTTCCAAGATGGATCCCCTTTTCGCGACAGATGGAATGTGATATAACCGGGGGGAGCAGCAGAAAGCAAGACAGCTTTTTGGCTAGTGGATGTTGGGATTTTTGGGAATAATGCTACTAGTAGACGAAGGCAACAGGTCGTGTGATAAACGCTCTTTGTTGTGAGCTGAGGAGACGAAGCTGCTTGTGTGTGGAATGATTCCGGCATCCGTCTTCCCCAGGTGGAAGATGTGCAAAATGAGGGAAAAAGAAGGTTGATACCCAGCGTGTCGAGAGAGAGAGGAACAAAGGCTCGTGATTTTTATTTCTCTTTTTCTTTTTGGTTATGACAATTTTTGCTATGTGTGAAAGTGTATGTATATATGTATACAATATATATATATATATATATTAGCATTTACAACGTGTTCATGGACAGCAATTTCCAACGTAGAGCACGTGGTTATAAAACTTTTGAGCTTGAATTTGCAGTTGAACCTTGATAACTCAAACTTCCCAATCATGTCTCTGTCTGAATTCCCTTTGACACGATGCATTAAAAGCCTCCCTAACTCAAAGTCTTTCCCCCCCAAAAAAAAACCTGCATAAGTTGAATTTTCTGGAGGTGTAATGGTTGTTATTTTGTTGACACAGGAATGAGAAAGCAATAAAAAGGCAGCTGGATGTGTTTTGAAAGTGAGCTAATGACAAATTGGCTAAATGAACCCTTGCCTTCAAGTTCAGGATTTCTGTCGGCTCATTCAATAAGAAGCAATTTCAGGCGCAGAATATCTCCCAATTACAATTTTTCGCAATTTTAACTTTCCTTCTCTTGACAGAAATGCTTGTTTTCCTGACTCAAAACCTCCCTAACTTGAATTTTTGTTGCTGGTCCTTTGAAGTTTGACTTGAAGAGGTTCGATTGTATTCATCTTTATGAATTCTCCCTTCAGATTTTGTGCGAGAAGAACGTGGTTTTCCTTTTTTTTTTGTGGACTGAATGCGAACGAGTGTTTTTCCTTTTAATGTATTTTTTTTTAGAAATTACTGATCAATTTTCGAAGTTTGGTTCTGAAAATTGAAGCTCCTGCGTCTGAAACGGAAAAGATTTCTCGAATTTTATCAGTATTGCACTTCCTGATAAATTCGAGGAAAATGCTGAGAAAAACTTGGTTCCGTTTTTTTTTTTTTTTTTTTTGTCGGAAAGATTTTGATGCTTATTTATTTTGTGATATTCCTGATTTGGCGGGGATGAATGAATGAAAGGGGTTGAACGTGTTTCTTTGTTGTTGTTTTTTTTTAAGGTGTAAGATCGGTGTTCTTGAGATACAATGCAGTACAGTGTGGCCTCTGCGTGCGGGCATGAACTGTTTTTCGTGAGTGTCCTCATTTCGAAGCGCAATTTTAAAATACCTATTTCTATGTGGAGACAAATTAAGAATACGTGTGCGTTATCCAAGAGAACCAATTTCAACTGGCATGATGTGTTACATCTGCTCCGAAAAGTCCAAGATTATGACAGATTCTGTAAAGATCAGTTTTCGGCGAACGAAAATTCGCGTTGAAAGGGAATATCGGTTTCGGAACTCACTTCGTTCAACGCGTCCAGGAATGCGTTTCTCATTTCAAATAATGTTCGCATTTTGGGGGCCGCAGTGTATTTACATATGTTTTTTTTTTAATTGGCGTATAGCAGACGTAGATGAGGAGCTTATTGAAGATAGTTATAGGCTACCATGTCCCGATTCATGACTGTGTCAAAGATAGTTTGATTGATTGAATGAACGACTGACTTCCGGATGATTACACTTGATTGTTGGCTAATTATGCGACGTGTATCCGTTGCATTGATGTTCCCGTGTCGGTTGTGTGGGCTGTTCCTTCTTACTACGGTGCGTTTGACGCGGCTTTGATACTACAGATAATTCGTCAATTTTTGTGTAACACTGTTTCTTGAAATGTATGGGATTCCAGTAACAAAGTCTACGATTCGATGGATGTGTTTTGACAAGGTAAGCTTTAGCTGTGGATCGAGGATTTTGATATCAGAACAATGACATCCTGTTCTTTACGGAAATGTGTCGTCATAATCCCGCTGCTATGGATGGGTGTTCGTTATTTTCTGCGAGTGACGCGACACCTACTTACAGTTCACCAAAGCATTGGGAAACATTTTAACAAAATGCACATTTGGTAGTACCGTGTACTGTAGGTATTCGCGGTTCAAAGGCAGAGAGAGGGAAACGGCAATTCACAGCTGAAATAATGGTATTTTCCGTCCAAAGAAATGAACGATTATATACATAGGACCGTATATTGAACCCATATATATAGGGTACATAAGGCATATTGAGTGATGTGTTTGAATACATGCCAGTATATTGCTGGATTTCTCGCAGCTAAACCAATACCAGAAAGAATAATATATTGTACAGTGAATGTTGGATGCTAATATATACAGTATACGGTACCTACATGCACTGCGTACGAAAATTGCGATATATATATAAAGATAAGATGGTTTGACATCTGCTGAGGAATAGCTGCATTCCAGTTGTTAATAGTGTTCAGCAGTATGTCACAGCTCAACATTTCAATGCTGAATTATTCCTCTTGCTTGTGCAATTATACTGTTGTCGTTGTCCAAGAGATTTTTATTCTGTTTTTCATTCCCACAAATTTATTTTATTACAGTGTTTCAAGACATATTCTTGCGCAATAAATGCATGATGAGAAATGAAATATGCGTGTCTGCATCAGCAAAACAGCAAATCATTTATATACTGTATACATGCAGAATAATCATCATTTCTTAGCATTAAACAGTACAGTATACAGCTGTACATGTATATATTTAGCAATGTCTTACAGTATTATTATTATTTGTGTCTCTTATATAATTGTTTCTGATGCATGAATGATGACATCTGAAAAATTTCAAAGCATTTTGAGGGAAATTTTTGGAAACACGTACTGCTGCTGCATACGTACCGCATAGCTGGAATAAGATGATATCACAGTGTTTATAGTGATGACAACAAGTACTGCGTATTTATTATACTTCAGGACGGCTGCTGTGTGTTCGTATGACATCTATATACAGTACTGCTGTACAGCAATAATGTATATGTACGATATAATGGGAAATGCTGATGTTATATGAAGAAAGAGATTGATTCGGAGTAGAATCCTGTTGAAGAGAAACACTTACTGTATATATATCCGTGTCAGCACCCTGACAGCTCACAGCAAGCATTCGAAAATGGGAGAGGGAAATGTTATTCAGTACAGTGAAGTATTCAAGTATAGTAGTTGAATCAGGATATATATATGTTTCTGAAGACATAGAATACGTCAATGGCCATACCACGTTGAAAGCACCCGTTCTCGTTCGATCACGGCAGTTAAGCAACGTTGGGCCCGGTTAGTACTTGGATGGGAGACCGCCTGGGAACACCAGGTGCTGTTGACTTTTTCCAATTCAGTTTTGATTTGCTTCTTTGTATTTTTTAAATCACAAATTTCATTTTCTGGATGCGTTTGCATTTTCTTAGATGACATAATATTAAAATATTCACTACAAATTTATTGAATGGAATCAAAAAATTATCTTGGCTTTGCAAAACAATTTTAAATGACTCTCTCTTTCAAGTTTTTTAGAACATGTATAGTACAATATACTTTTTGTGTTCACTTCATATCTTTTCCCATAATCGAAGATGGAATCATGGAAAGCTATGTGTCCACATTTCCTTTGGAATTGATTTTTCCGCAGGATGTATATATATATAATCCTGACATTAATTTTCATTTGCACCAAAATTTTGAAGTACAGAGATGATCAGTAAGTACTTCTCAGTATAGATGAGATGGAGTTGTGACACACGCATTTATTACATGTTCCAAGCAAAAAACTTGAAAGAGAGAGTCATTTAAAATTGTTTTGCAAAGCCAAGATAATTTTTTGATTCCATTCAATAAATTTGTAGTGAATATTTTAATATTATGTCATCTAAGAAAATGCAAACGCATCCAGAAAATGAAATTTGTGATTTAAAAAATACAAAGAAGCAAATCAAAACTGAATTGGAAAAAGTCAACAGCACCTGGTGTTCCCAGGCGGTCTCCCATCCAAGTACTAACCGGGCCCAACGTTGCTTACCTGCCGTGATCGAACGAGAACGGGTGCTTTCAACGTGGTATGGCCGTTGACGTATTCTATGTCTTCAGAAACATATATATATCCTGATTCAACTACTATACTTGAATACTTCACTGTACTGAATAACATTTCCCTCTCCCATTTTCGAATGCTTGCTGTGAGCTGTCAGGGTGCTGACACGGATATATATACAGTAAGTGTTTTTCTTCAACAGGATTCTACTCCGAATCAATCTCTTTCTTCATATAACATCAGCATTTCCCATTATATCGTACATATACATTATTGCTGTACAGCAGTACTGTATATAGATGTCATACGAACACACAGCAGCCGTCCTGAAGTATAATAAATACGCAGTACTTGTTGTCATCACTATAAACACTGTGATATCATCTTATTCCAGCTATGCGGTACGTATGCAGCAGCAGTACGTGTTTCCAAAAATTTCCCTCAAAACGCTTTGAAATTTTTCAGATGTCATCATTCATGCATCAGAAACAATTCTAAGAGGCACAAATAATAATCATCATCATCATCATAATATTGCTAAATATTGTACTGCTATATGCTCCTCTGGCTAGCCCATGAGAATTAACGCTGCTTTGCAATACTGTAATAAATAAATCAAGGAACATGAATTGACCAATTTACAGCATAAATGCAATTTAGGGAAATGTCATAACTTCTATATATCACAGCAAAGACATTTTGAGCATGCGATGAATGTAATTAATAAAACATGCGACATACGCTTCTGATGAGAATTGATAATCATAGAATAATTAAGATTCTTTTTCTGAAATCTTGGAGCGAGTATATTTTAAAGGGAAATCAAGCTGAGTCATCAAAGCTGCACGCAAATTACATTTACAGTACTGTATATATTACAGTAAACATGGAATCCTGATGCCCAAATACTGTAACAGCATCACTATACAGCATAACGTAGGGAAGTAATTATTCCTGGGAATTTTCTCCAGCAAGATATAGCGCTATAGGTTAATATAACAGGTATTCAGTATTATACGCACTGCTGTATATATATACAGTATACGGTATACTGTATAGCAGCAGATGCGACATTTTTTGTTAACTTTTCATCCGCTCATGCACATAAGAATATGATCTAAAAACGAGGTTTACGAAAATTGAGCTATTCATTATGTATATGTGCAGTACACGGACTTTTCTTCTATAATAATGCAGGTTGTACGTTATTTGGAAATTTTTTGAGAAACAGAGGGTACGTTCAACTTCAACATACAGTATACGCGTAACAGTATTCATATCAACAATATTAGGGTAAAAGTTCTTTTTTTGTTTATCGGATTTTAAGCACAAAATATTGCCATTTTGAGTGAACAGTATACTGCATTTACTGCATAGTATACTCACTATTATGTACTAAATACGCAATATAACATGAACTCTTTTTTTAATTGGAAAACTGGGATGAGCGCGTTTTATACATGGCATGTTTTTTGAGTACCACATAATTTCCATGACAACATTTGAAAAATAAATGTGATTTCTTATATGCATACTTTAAACAACAGAGTAAAATCTATCTACTGTATATGAACACGTTTTTAGAAATGTACTGCTTATGTATTTCTTCCAAAGAATGAAAGGACTGAACGTTTGGAATTGAACCATTGCTCTTGGAAAAATGCAAAACGCACTTAGGTTTTAAATTGTTAAAAACAAAATAATCATTGAAAAAATGGAAAATTACACAAGATGTAGGCAAGTTTGTGTTCAAAACAAGATGAAATTTTCAAAATGTTTTTCTGGCCTGAAAAAGTTTTACCAGCATGTTACAAGAATGAAGAACTTTCACCAGAACTGGAAAGTTTTTTACTTATCATCATGCAGTAAATCTAATTTTTAAAAATCTGAACAAAATGCCAGGCCTTTACAATAGCAAGGGTGACTTCATGCATTTTTTTTTACAGTGGTACCTTATTTTAGAAATATCCAAGGTTAAGCCAAAGTGGGTTAACCTGGGTACTGTACTTAGGGCATTTCTGCAAAGATCTCTTGCTCATTTATGAGTTCCACCTTCTGTAAGTTATTCAAATATGTATTTAGCATACTGAATTTACATTCTGGAAAATAATATTCTTAGACATCTCCCAAAGTTTGTTTCTATCTGTTGCTGCTTTCCTCTCTTTATTTTATGAACATTGATGACATCAAAATTTTTTCATCAGATTCAAATCAGATATACAAAAACGGAATTTTTAACCAAGTTCCTAAAATATTGAACTCTTCTTAAAAATATCCAAGCAAGCTTCACTTTCTACTTAACCATATACGTTTTTAAAATTTATAGTACTGATGTACTGTACTTCATTTATTTTCTTTTTAGCTTGAAATTATTTCTCATGTGGCCACTGAAGTGACTTTACATAAGCATAAGCATATGAAGAAATTATTAAGCACTTAGAATCCGCAAATTCAGTTTATCTCTGAGGCTAAATTCAATTACTGTATATTAAATTCAAACTTCTTGTGATAATTAAGCTTTATGGCGGAGATGAACTTTACTTCCTATCTAAATTCTTTGGTAACTTTTTTGATATTTTTTATTTCATTTCTGTTGTAGATAATTTTGATAATTTGAATCTGATTTCGTTTTTAATAAATATGTTAGCTGGATTTGTTTGAAGGGCTAAATTATGCACACAAAATACTCCAGTTGAAAAATTAAAACAAAATTATTCAGAGGCAATGAATTGAACTTATCATATTCATCTTTTCTACAACAGGAAAATTCTGCTTCTCATTTAACTTCAATCAAAGGATTTTGGCTG